TCAATCATCCTCCACAAATATTTATTGAACTCAAATGTTGAGTGCTTTGAATATGTACAGAACAAATCTTTTGTTTTCAAAGCTGGTTATGCTGCAAGTCAGCAAGGGGCTTGTCACTTTTGTTTTAGACTCTTCAAAGTAGAAACCCAAATCATCTTTACAATGGCCTACAGACCTGCACCAACTTCCCTTATATGTATGACTTCTTGGCCTGTTTTGTCTCTCTGACTCTCCTTATATGTGGATGAAATGTAAAATTCCAAGGGAAACAAATGGTCTTTTCTTCTGAGTACCTACTGCATACCCAGGACACCAGGGTGGATATAAAAGATTTCTCCATCGAGGAGTTTCCAACAGTTTTGGAAATGAGACTAAATAATACCCATAACAATATGAGAATCAGTTAAGTTGTTACTAAATTATGTGGTTTACATTTTAAATATCGAAGAATAGGAAAGTCCAGAATTCAGAAAAGGCATGAGGACGACTAGCTCCTCGCATCCGGATACCAATATCAACAGTAATGAACTGAAAGCCCTCAGATCTCTCTCTCACCAGTTTCTGAGTACCAGGTGGGCATTTCTAAATGCTCCAAATGAAGCAAATGCAAGACAACTTATTCCTGATTTCAGTTAGCGGCACCACCACCTTGCCTGCAAATCCAGCCAGAGTAGGGAAGCTACCCTTCATCCTAACTGCCTCCTCACCCTTCTGTATCTTACTAACCTGGCATTTCCAGTACTGTGGCTGCTGCCAGTGTCCTCTCTATTCTGTATTTTACAATAACCTAATCATGTCACTAACTCTTGTCTTTTTTACCCCAGCACTGCTATCCTATCAATTTTACACAGTGATTTTTTTAGAGTTCAAGTCAAATCACTTCTATCACTGTTGTCCTCAGAATAAAATCCTTTGCATGACACCAAAGATCTTGTTGTTACACATCTTTTCCAAATATTCTCGATGCTCCCAGGTCTGATAGAAGGAGCGGGATGCTCTCCCTGTCATCAAATCGTTACAGCAAGTCCCACTAGGGCCAATATTAATCAAGGGGACCTGAACCAAGGAAGTGCAGTGGGGCCTGGGGAAGGGTCTTTAGAAATGTGGTTCTAGACACAAAGCCACATTTTCAGGCTCTCAGACAGGCTCCAGGCCAGCTCTGAGTTAGACGGGCCATGGGGACTAGAAGTAGAAACGGAGCTATGGCTAGCTGTTTTAGTTTTCTATTGCTGTGACTAGAACGTGGCAGTTTCTCTCTCCCAGTTTCTGTCAGTCAGGAGTCCATCCAGGGCTTGGCTGGGAACTCTGCTCAGGGTCCTACAGGTTGCAGTCAGTACAGCAGAGCTGTGTGCTCATCTGGAGCTGGGGTCCTCTTCCAAACTCATTCAGGTTGTTAGCGGAATTCACTTCTTTGCAGTTGTAGAACTAAGGCCCTCAGCTCCTACAAGTTGCCCATCTCCATTAGCAGTGCACAATACGGCCACTTCTTCAAGGTCAACAGAAAAGCATCTTTCATTTCAAGTCTCTCTTAGAGGCCTGGTGTCTGCCTGTCATCAGCCTCCTCTCGAAACATCTCTCTTTCATTCTCTGCAGAGCCTCCATTTAATTCTCTTCCTCCCTGATACTAGCTATAAAAATACATTATGAAACTGTCATCCGTTATTTACTAGGTACTATTACTGTCCTTATTTCACAAATTGGGGAATGAGGCATAGAAATATTAAAGAACTTCCCTAAGTTGACACAAGCAGTATTAGCTAAATAGGAGATCTGCAATTCAAGACAGCTGGGGAGGGGACAATTGTGTAGCCTATGCTCTGCTCATAGTGACCCTGGATGAGAAAGCAGCAGCGAGTAGCTGGGGACAGAAGTTGACCTTCTTTGTAGAAGTAGAGATGTGGATGTCAGGAGAGAGGACAGTGGCAGTAATGTCAATATTCCCTCTGAAATGAGACTAATTCTCACAGGTGCCAGCCATTCAGATAGGAACTACATGACAGAGACAGTAAGACCACATCTAGTGTGAGGCTCTTGTTAAAAATGGAGAACCTACAACTCCGGCTGGTGTGTGGCTCAGTGGATTGAATGCTGGCCTGTGAACCAAAGGGTTGCTGGTTCGATTCCCAGTCGGGGCACATCCCTGGGCTGCAGGTCAGGTCCCCAGTTGGGGGCATTTGAGAGGCACCTGCACATTGATGTTTCTCTCCCTCTTCTTCCTCCTTTACCCTCTCTCTAGAAATAAATAAAATCCTAAAAAAAATAGGAGAACCTAGGAATGTCACACTTTAGAATGAGTGATTATGAAGGACAGAACTCAATGCATTTTTCCAATGATGACCTAGATGAAAAAAAAAGTCATGTATCGTTATTTGTGGAGTGTAGGAGTTAGAAAGAATAGCAACTTCATTAGAGTGCAGAATGACTCAGAAAGATCCCAGTAGGTACAAATGGTAGACCCCGGCTTACAAAGTGAAATTCGATAGTAATAAATGTTGTTTCTACCTTTGGATTTGACTTTGAAATTGTGGTAAAAACACATAACATTGAATTTAGTTTATTTCCCTTTAGTTTGTTCTTGGACAAACTAAAAAATTAATTGGGGGAAAAAGCACATTAAAAAAAAAGGAGAGAGATTCGCCCTGACCAGTGTGGCTCAGTTGGTTGGGTGACGTACTGCAGGACAAAAAAGGGCAAAAAGATTCCTGGTGGGGGCGCATGCCTGGGTTGTGGGTTCTGTCCCCTGTTGGGACCCACATGAGAGTTAACTGATGTTTCTCTCCCTCTTTTTCTCCTGCCCTTCCCCTTTGAAGATAAATAAAATCTTTAAAAAAGAATCCTTCTAAAGCCTAGGTTTGGAGGAACAAAATTGTTTTGATTAGACTTAAAGGAAGGTCAGTTCAGGAAAAATATTTACAGACTTACTAATGTTCATGCAAAATAAAACTAGCTTTACTGAATCCTGGGGTTGGGGCTGGGGAGGAAACCGTTTTTACAGCTTGGATTTCTTCCTTTCCCAGTCATACAGAAGCTTCTGTTACTTCATCCTGAAATTAAGTTGAGGGCCTAATGAGAAGCTTAGATGGGTCACATGAAGTCCAATGGGAGATCAAAACTTTCCCTAGGTGTTTATTTGAAAGAGTAGTTACAATAGCTGGATCATTTTTCCAGCCTCTTTCCTAGCAATCCTATGGAAAGGTTCAGGAATAGCTTAATTATTCTCTAAAATAAAACCTGAGAAGATTCTACTGAGGTGTTTTCCCTAAATAAGCTTTCTCAGTTTAGAATGGGTTTCTCAGATGCTTGAATGTTATTAGGACTGTACGTTTTTGGAGACCATATATTTTATTTTGTAAATTAACAAAGAGAACACATAGTCCTAAAAAGACCATCACATTCTCTTAGGAGTCTTCCAAAACTGAATGACTAAAATCCACAGGACTTAAAAATTTTGTAGAGATAAACCTGTCAACCTTTTCTGAACTCTTATTAGAAACAAGGGGAATGCCTGAAGGTTTGAACTGGCTGCCTATATAATCTAGATTACCCTTTAAAAGAAAACTGATACTTTTGTTGTTTGTACATCAAGTATGTGTGTTAATGTTTTTGATGAAACAAAATTATTTTAATTTTGATTTCAATGTCTTGTTTATAAGAAATCTATTTACATTAAACCAAAATAAATAAGAATTTCCAAAGCAGGAAAAAAAAGCACCCTTTGAAACAGACTGGATTTATCACCAATTTCAAACTAACTGAAAAATATTTCACTCTCCAATGCCTTCCTTCAGAAGTAAAATACAATAATTTAAGGCAAACTACACTTCCTCCATACCCAGAAACAGGCTTTCTCAGAGATCAAATAAATTGTCTCTTTATGACAATTCTTCTTATCTTAAATCTCATAAAATCACTCTTTAAACAGCATTAGTTTCTTACCTATTCACTGTGTTACTTAAAATAATCTAGAAATATACAAAAATTTGGCCTGTTTATAAATGCTGACTGATAAAAATATTATATAGCTGCTACTGGGATTTTCTTTTAAGCACAGCAAATTAATGCTTAGAAGTTTAGCTCTATTCATGGCAATGTTTGTGTTTTAACATTTTTTTTTTAAGTATATAAACATATTTATGTCCAAAGAGGTCAGGAAAACACTTACAAAATAAATATGTAGAAAATTTTAGAATTTCATGGATTGAAATAAACTGATGATTCTTTAATGAATCAGAAAACTCTAGTTTATGGAAACAATTCTGTACTGATTACCCTAAACATATCATTTTCAATGGTTTAAAATTTGGGTGGTCAATTTTAAACAGTTACTAAAAATAATAGTTTTTATAGTTTGCTACATAATATTTATTAAAATAGAGTCTGTTATGGGTATGGGCTTGACTGCAAATTACTCAACTTCATATAAACTAAAAATGCCCTCTCTGTATCTTCAAAATAATTGAATTATTACTTTTATTCAAAATTTGACACTTTATTGTTACCAAACAAACTTCTAATGACAAGTTCTTTTTATTTAATTTTAATTTTTTAGTACTTCAGAAAAAAACTTTGGCTATTAATTTAAGTGCATTACTCCTCTTCGTAATAAACTTTTCTTATTTTGTGTTCCAAAAACATTAAAAAATTTGTTTTAGTAACTAGAGTAGAAAAAAATAGTTCACCTAATACCTGTTGCACTTCTAATATTTCAATATAAAGCAGACAATTAAGTTTAGATCACTGATGAATCAATTGTTCTTGGTGGCTTATTCCTTTTTCCAAAATTATAGCTTGTGTATCTAATTCAAGGTAAAGTAGTTGAAATGTAATAATTATATTTATTTTATGTACTCCTATTAAAAGAGTGTGACTGAAAAACTGACTGAAACCAGTAAAAAATGATGTGAAATTACAATGTAAAATTACATGTATTGAAATTACATTGTAAAATTACAATGCCACAATATTTAAAAATAAACTCTGAATAAAGGGAACACCGAGGCTTGTCTTAAAGAAGCTGTTTGTCATTCTTTTTTTTAGAGATTACAACACACATACAATAAATGAATTTTATCAAAATACAGCACATTTCCTCTACTATATCCATAAAAATCAATTCTTATGTAAATAGTACTGAAAAATCAACTAAAATGAGTTAAAATTTACAAAGAGTTGTTAAAGGGTTTCGATCAATATTATTAAAACTATACAGTACAATAACCAGTTGATAACATCTTGAAAGAAGTGCAATATTTGAGTTCACATCTTTTTAAAAGTACTGCCTGTTTACTGACTAGCAAGAAAGGAACCAGTCTAACTCACTTTTGCAAAAATAATGTCAATTGCTGTTTTTGCTAGTCCTATAAAAATCTTATTTAAAACAAGATTCAAGAACAAAGGATAACAGATTAAAAATTCCAAAATTGCATTTCTTAGTAATTAAAAATGAATTGCAATAACTGAATATTGCTCTAATGAAAGGCTCCACACTAGCCTTGACTAAAAACAGTTATTGGTCTTCTATGGCACTTTTTTTATGGTCCAAATAACCATGCATTTATTCTTACCATTGCATGTTACTCAATTTTTATTTGATTACACAGACAAAAACAAAATTTTATTTGGATAAACAGAATTAATAAACCTCTACCAAATATTTCTTACACTAACGAAAAAAAAGGCAGTTGGCAGTAAAACACTATTACGCTTACACTTAGAAACCCTTTAAAGACTCTGACGCGTTGAGTTCACATTTAATGTTACCTGTAGGAACAGCCCTTTATCTGAACACTTTTACACACTGGCAGGCCCCAAGGGCCCATCCCTTAGCGCTACAACTCCCCACAGCAATTCTCTATCACTGTGCCAGTTTCACAGACTTGCTTTGGTTTCCTAGCTCATGCGTACTGTTTCCTTTTACTTTACCAAGGCAATGTGAAGCCAAACAAAATCAGGAGGCTAAATCTTCTTACATTTTGTGTCATAGCAACACAATCTTAAAACTGGCCATTTCAGTTTCATTTGCTGCTTAAAATAAAAATATAAATTAACATTAAAATGGAGTATTAATTATCAAATTGCAAATATCACCATTTGCAAAAAAATCAAGGGATTTCCGTATCACAGAAAAATCATGAACATACATCTACAGTAGAGTTAAAAAATTTCTGTGACTAAAAAAAATTAAAAATGAAATCACCAGTACCAAATGTATCATTAATAGCTATGACAAGAACAGATCATGTAGCGCTCATAAAATGCAATTATCGTCTTTTTTATTTCTTTAAAAAGACATTACATTTTTATTGCATTATTCTATTAATAAAAACACATTAACAGATTGCTGTTTTTTTCATTCTTTGCTTCCAGATTTTTATAAGAATTAACTGTTTTAATCAAGCCTTGGAAAGTGATCCCACCAGCACCACCTTCACCTACTCACTCTGCAATTCAATGTGCACATAGCAAAAGCCAACATTTCAAATCTCTTGCCCACATAAAAAAAAGTAGTTTCAGCAGAAAAACATTAATATCAGTTGAATAAAAATAAGGGCATAAAAGCTATGAGATAGCTCTGCCATCCGCCTCTGGGCTACAATCAAGGCTAACTAGAGCCTTGTACAGAGTTCAGTCATGAGTATGAAATCCAAAAATAAACCTACAATCTATACAAAAACAACATACATGTGTTTTTGTAGCCTTGATTGCTATGTTTTTAAAAACCTAACAAGAAGTTTTACATGGTTTGAATTCAACAGTCTTCCCTATATACTGTACAGTGGTTCTTTCCCTCTAGTCACAAGTTCCGTTATTTCATTAATGTACAAATTTGAACATAATTTTTGAGTTCCTCTTTATATATAAAAATAGTCAAAATATTAATTTCCCCTGCAAGTATCTTCTAATAAATCTTGCTGTCTTCCCCCCATTTTTTGTCCACAGTTCTTATGAAGAAACCTCTCGTACGATGATGAGTTCTACTGTGTTCTGGAAAGTTTTTAGCAAGGACACTGCTTGTCCATGTTCAATATTGATGAAATTGTAGCCATTAGCCTAGAAGAAAGAAGAAAAATATCTTAAGAAAAACATTTCAAAGTGATGTACTTGCACAGGTGCATTTAAATTTGTCAGGTAGTAAAATCTAGCAGAAAATAAGAATGATTTTAGCAATTTAAAACCACATCTAGGCTCCTGGGCCCTAAAATAAAATCTAGGAAGGTGAGATCCAGGAACCTATATTTTAAATGATTCTTATGTAGCAGCCAATGCCAGAGAAGTCCTTGTTAAAGACAGTGTCATCACACGGGGTGTTGAGTGTATGCACTACTGTGCAATTGAAGTCACCAAGTTGCAAGGGTAACAAATCAAGAATACTATCTATACTTCTTATAATTTAGGCTAAATATTTTTTGGGTCTTACTGTATACCAGACACACAATTCTAAGTACTTCCATGAATTAACTACTTTAATTCTCATAACGCAAAGAAGTTTCCTTTTTTTAATTAAAAATTTTTTAAAATGTTTATTGATTTTAGAGAGAAAGGAGGGTGGGGGAGAGAAAGAGGAGGAGAGAGATAGAAGGAGAAACATCACGGTCAGAGAAACATCAGTCGGCTGTCTCCCATAAGCACCCTAAGCAGGGATCACACCGGCAACCCAGGTATGTGCCTTGACCAGGAACTGAAACGCTAACCTACTGGGGTATGGGATGGCGTTCCAACCAGCTGAGCCACACTAACCAGGGCCACAAAGAAGATTTTTTCGTCACCTTACTTTAGAGAAGTTAACATTCTTGAACTTAAATAAAATGCTAAAATATATCAAACATTTATTCAAAAATATCAGTAAGATTTTTCAGAGTACAAGGTGGAACTATTTTAAACTATGAAAGCACTAGAGAGTAGCCTGTAAGAAATGTAAGAAATACCACTATTTTCATACACAAGTATGTAAAGATGAACTTCATAAAATGCTTACTGTATTTTGCAGTATATAATGCGCACTCTTTTTGCCCAAATTTTTGAGGGAAAAGTAAGGATGCACATTATACAAAGGTATAATGATTACAAACCATGGAATATAATAATCCTGTATATAACATGCACAAAAACATGGGTGTGCATTACACACAGCAAAATACAGTATTTTCATAAAATGGCATTTAATAATGTCTTGATGAGGACAGATTAGTTATAAAACAAAAAATAAAGAAAATAATAAAAAAAAAAGTATCTTAGTTACCTGGATAATTTTATCACCTGGTTGCAATAATTTTGATGCTGGTCCTTCAGGCTGTACCCTTGTTACAAATATACCCTTTAATAACAACAACAACAACATATTATTGAATAGGAAGTGGGATGCCTAAATAACAGGGTACCAAGGAGCAATCTTTCTTTCTCAGTATGCAAATATTTGAATCGTGGTACAAGGCTGTTTCCTTGTCTTTTCTGAAAACATTGTGACAGCCAATGTTTTTATTTTGCCTCTGGTAATTTTGATGTTAATATAGTGATTTCTGTTCAAGTTACTTCTACAAATACATAAAAATAATGACAAAATCAAAAATCACAATATGAGGCATTTAAATTTTTTGGTTACATTTGTATTCCTCAATTAATTTGAACAGATTACATTTCAAAACAAAAAGCTGAACAATAAAGAGAGAAATCAATAGGTGGTCTGTCTAGATTTATAGAAGTACCTGTTAGATTTTTACTTATGTAAATGAGGTATTAACTTAGTGAACAAAATTTTATGGTTATTTCAGAAGATATATAAATAAAACTCACATCATCATCAGGTCTGAATGGATTTCCTCTTCCACCGACACCTCCTGATATGCTAAATCCAAGTTCTGGATCTTTTTCAACTCTCACTCGAATCTGAGTTAATATGAAAATAAAATTAACCATTATTACTATTTGAAAAAAGCTGTAACACAGTAACATTCATAGTTAAATATTGGGAAATTAAGTTCAAACAACATACCTATGTAAGGATTCATCTAAAATGATTATTTGGGCAGATGAAGTGAAACTATGACATGGAATACTATGTTAATAAGTTAGTGAGTTAAAGGCAGAGCTGGGATTATAAAGCAAAGCTCCTAACTTAAATCTATTGCTGTTTTATGAGGATAGGCAACCAATTAATGGTGACCCTATTGTATTTTTTAGACATCATAGATTTTTAAAGACATACAGCATACACATAAAACATGTGCTTTATTATTAGTTTCCATTTGTGAAACATCTATATTACATAGTATCTCTATCTCTATTGGGTATTCATAGATCCAAAATGAATAAACCATTTGTTCTCTACCTAAGTTTCTAATAATATCACGTTATCAATAAATTATCAAAATATATGACTAGTGACTTTTTAAAAAAGTACTTTGTAAGACTTAATTCTCAAAGTAATTTGGAGTTTACAATCAAGTTTCAAAAGCTGAGTGTCAAATAACAACAGCAAACCATAATATGCCAATTCAAGGTCTGATTACCAGAGTATAATAAACCAGTTAGGGAAAAATAACCACCTTAGAAAACAAAAAAGAATATGTCTAAAACACTACATCCCACATCTGTTAATGAGAATGGGGGTTGGAGTGAAATGACAGAGTCATATTAAACCACAAAGTTTAACACCTTATAAACTGAACAGGAAACCAAATCTTTACAAAATGGTAACACAAAAAAACAAAAACAAAAATAAAAACACCTATGTTAAAATTCTATATGGACTTATTGCTAATAATTAAATAACCTATAAAATACATTAAAAGCTCAGTCTTGTATTTCAAATATTCTTGATTATTCTTACCTCTTGCCTTGCCAGTTCATGGCCTTGTCTAGGAGAACAATGGGGCTGTGTATATGGAGGCTGGTGGGCCACTTTCAGCATCAAGTAATCAATTAGTTGTTCTCTAGAGGGGTGCCTTGCCACAGATGCCTGAGGAAGGGGGTGATGTATTTGACTATAATTTGCCTGAGGCATGAGAGGCTGGCCCATCTGTCCATTACTCAAAGGCATCTAAGAAAAACATGAAGTGTCTTAAAATGACCAATAATAATGTCTTATTACAAATATTTGGATTTTCTTCTTGGAGCATTTTAAAAGCACTAGAGTTTAACATTCTAAATCACACAGTTATCATGCCACTTACACTATTTATTCTAATTTTACACTTTTAAGAGAAAATAGCCATTAATGTTTTAATTCTAAACTTGCTTGAGTGCTTGATGATAGATGCACTCTTTAGAGGTTTCCAGTGAAAAGTAAATCATATCTACATTTAAACTATTAATTTTCTCTCTGATAGAAATGCACCTATTATTCTCATATACCTAAATGTTAAAATGGTAAACAGTGTGCCAAAATTTAAAACTTAAGTAAGCTCATTAAAAGGGTATATTTTCCTATACTCAATCTCTCACATTCACACAAAATATGCATTTACTAATGTTTTTCATTAAAACAAAAGTAATTTTTTGGTAGAATTTTTTCCTAATCCGATTATGTCTTTTCTATCTTTATTTCTTCCTTTCCAGAGTTAGTAAGCCAATTCAGCTATGTAACAGAAAACTGATTTATTCCTCATATGTGTATCAGCAACTTAAAACTCTCTAAATATTCATTCTATTGAATATTAACCACAAAAATTAAACTGTGATTCTAGTTTACTTTTCACAAGCTAAACAAAAATCTTGAGATTATTTTGTTGTCAAATTATCATCCTTGTTTTAACTCCTCTCATTTTTTAGAGATTGAATCTTTAGACTTAAAAACACCTTTGCAGAAATGTGGCTAATGGCTTATTCTATTAGTGAAAGAACTATCTGACAAATATACATTTGTATTATAAATATATGCTTATGAATAGATTTGATTGGAAAAGGAAATATATTTAAGCTATTCAGTCATTTAAAACGTCACCGTTGATTATTAATAAAAGTTGTCCTCATCCACAAGGAAATCATGAAAAATTGTAAGGGAAATATTTGAACCCCATTTCCCTAAAATTATCCAAAAGTAGAAACTTTGGGAAAAGATTACGGCAATAGTTTCAGAACTACATATTTTTTTCTTTGTGAACCTTTTTGAAGGATACAAAGAAGTTTGTATTTGGTAAAAAAGATTTTCACTTTTTAAAATAGTTCTCTCTTTCACTAGGTTATAGTTAAAAAGTTAGTTAATTATGAAGTCTGGAAACATTCACTGGTGTTTTACGACAGAGACAATACTAGCACAAAGATGTTATCACTCCCTCACAAATCTTTTCTTGGGCATTTACCATTCGATCACTGTAGATTGGAAGCAATTAATCTGCCCAGGAGTACTTAAGTGGTTGTGCTATTACTTTATTACTTATGCACAACTATGTAGACAACCCTGGCTTTTCTTCATATTTATATAATTATTTTCCTATGTGCAGATTCAGTACTTTTCCCTGGACCATAATAATTTCTGACCCTTTCTTAAGACTTCCTGACATCTAGATACTTGTTCATGCCTGACATTCTACATCGATGTTAAATATATCCATGGAATATGGTAAGCTATGATACACAGATGGCTCAGGACAATAAAAAGCATAAAACAAACTCAATAACCTAAACCATAAAATGGATATTAAAAAGAAAAAGAAACTGGATAGCACAACTAAAAGAAAAAAAAAGAAGATAAAATAGACACGTATGAACTTAAATGTCATGCGGCTTGGTTCCTACTCTCAAGAGCAATGTAAAAGTTTATAATAATAACTAAACTTCATAATTATATTTGGTTATACTAAATAGGGAATAAGTTATGAGAAAGAACTGAAGAGAATACTAAAGAAAAGATTTATCTATCTGGCATTGGTGACAGAAAAGTAAACTATCTAAATGAGTGATGCTTTAGTTACAAAAGTAGTTAAGAATACAACCACCATCTATTCTACCATATAAAAAAGTCTTTGTAATTGTATTACTTTCTTAAAAGATTTTATATGTAGAGAGAGGGGGAAAGGAGGGAGAAAGTGAGGGAGAGGAACACCAATGTGAGAGAGAAACATCAACTGGTTGCCTCTCACAGGAGCCCCGACCAAGGACTGAATGCACAACCCAGGCATGTGCCCTGACCAGGAATCAAAACTGCAACCTTTCACTTTGCAGGATGAGGCCCAAGCAAGCCACACCAGTCAGGGCTCTAATTAAATTTTTAATTAGTGATTTCTAATTACATTTAAAGTATTTTAAAATGCCTTTAATAATCATAAAACATCCTGAAATGAAGAATTTAACATAGGTTCATCTTTACCTCTCTAAATAGTTTTATTAGCAATACCAAAATCCCTTTGATTCAAATAACAAAGTAAGTAGGTGACAGTACAGAAATAAAAAAATAAAATAAAATAAAATGATTCTCCAGTGTGGGGGGGAGAAATCATGGAATAAACCAAAAAAATAACAGAATGCAATTCTATTATTTCTCAATTATTTAAAAAATAAATCCTTACTAAGCAAGAATGAAAGTTCTCAAAAAAAGTATTTTCACTGTTAAAAGTATCTATTGCTCTTTCTCGTTCAAAAGCCACAACACATAGTAAGCTCACAGATACTACTGCATTCATTTCCTGAGCACCTACTTTCAAGCTGTCTGAAGGAACATCTTTGTGACTAGGTGTAGCTGATGAGTAGTTGTGCTGTCCTGAAATAAATGTATCACCTTGACAAGGATCTCTTGGACAGGATGTCTGGGGATGCTTCAAATTAGGGGAAAATAAAAAGCAAACATATAATGGTCTTTAAAATGTGCAACCAAAATGATGATGACATTTGAGAGGAGATTAGGAAAAAAAATAGTGCTAGGTAATAGGAACATGAAGAGCCAAATAAAACATCACTATCACAACGGCCACCCATCTTAGTATTTTCATGACCAATGTTAACTTGTTAGGGTAATCATTTTGCAATATATACATATATCAAATCATCATGATACACTCTTTGAATTAATACAATGTTATGTCAATTATATTTCAATAACACTGAGGAAAAAATTAGTACTTTTAATCATCTTCCAAAGTTAATGGCAAAATGTTCATTCCTTTAATGCATAAAAAGTATATACAGATATATACTGTTAAGCTATTTCTTTATAATGCTTTTAGTTTTATTTACAATACCTAGCTTTTAACACTTTCAGTAACATTTTTAATCCTAGTTAGAAGTCCCAAATTTTAAGAGCAACTAAAACTTACACCTGTTGAGCACTATGAAGTTTTGTGGGGTTTTTTTCAGTAAAAAAATTAACTGATATTCTTTTAACAGCACAGCATAACCAAGAATTTTTCTTTAAATGATGAGCAGTACCAATAAACACACAGTCATATAATTTTCTTTGGTTTAATCCCATCGTACTAACATCAGTTAGCTATGTATTTTCAAAAGCACTGATTTGGTGAAATGCTTTTAAAATTAACTAAGATTCCTACTTTTATAAGTCAAATAATATCCTTATATTATAGTCTATCTCACTGATAGCTTTGTATAGAAAAAAAGGTCAATCTCATTATATGTGTATATTTTTTATAAACATGCTGGGATGCAAGATTACTAAATATTTCACTTTAATTTAGCTCTAAACACACTTTGCTATATTTTAGAAAACTAGAGAGATTGTGTTAAATAGCACTATTATTACTGTCAAAACTCTACAAGACCAGCAACATAGATATGCAAATTTCACCATCATGTTGAAAAATAATCTGAAATCTACTTCATTATGATATCCCACAGGATACATATAAACTTAACAGTTTACAATGTAATCTTAGAAAACGTATCTGCAACAATCCTATTATGTAGTTAGTTGCTAGTTCAAACCATGGCGTAGCATTTTTAGATGTGGTTTGATCAAATTTTGTGTATTTATTCAATGAAAACTTTACTTTCCTTCTTCGTTTTTGAGATGATCTTTCAGAATGCATAAAAATCAACTTAGCTCATAGCTTGAAGTTTAAACTCAAGCCTGAATATACAACTATGTCTATCTAGTCTTTAAAAGAACAAGTATATTATGAATTAAAAAGTAAAATGCAACAGACTCAAAGTCTCTGAATGTAAGGGTAATGAGCAAAAAATATCACTGTGTGAGAGTTTGTAAAGGTTAATTGTTCCATACGACTATAAGATTACCCCTGAGTTAATAAAAGCCCCCGCTCTTTGCTCTGTGGCTTCAATTGGAATAGTGACAGAAATTCGGGGCTTAATAGTCATCACCCTTCTCTCTCCCTGTTTCAGTCTGGTAAGTTACAAAATCATTGCTGCCACTGCAACATAACATAGAACCAAGTGGTGGCAGGTGACAGAAGGCAGAGCAAGATGGGTAATACACAGTAAGAGCAAAGCCAATCCAGGGGACTGCTCCTATCCTAGAAAACAACAGAGCAAAGCCAGGAGTGTATTAAAAGGCAGGGGAAGGGTGAGGGCAGTGAATGCTCAGGAAAAAGCAAAGGACCCAGAAGTAAGCAGAATCGTTGTGGAAACAAAACTGAGGAGGGGATAAAGTAAGGTTATAAGGGGAGACAGGTCTCTTCAGGACAGAAGGAGAGGGGCAGAGGAAATACTTATTTGGAGGCTATGTTGTTACCTCAAGTTGTTACGAAAAGAAAATCTTAAAACAGAGCCATGCCAGAGTTCTGTTTTTTTCCCTTCTGTGCTTGCTATTCTTATACCTTATTCTTAACTTTCATTAAAATAAACCTTTCTTCATCACTACTAATGACGATGGCCGAAATGTGCATAATAAAGAATTTTAGTTTTGTCTTTTCATTGGTACTTACTATAATTTCTCCAGCCTCACATTTAATCATATTTAGCAAATTATGATTAAAGTTAGTTCCATTAGTTCTTAGTGCTTTTTATTGGCCAATATTAAATCACTAAAGAGAAAATCACTTTTCCCCACAAGTCCTGTGGAGTACATGTGGAGTACATGTGGCACAGACGTAAAGCCTTGAATTTGGGGAGAGCATGTTAATTTTAAGAGAAAGCCACTGCAAAGAATAATTTTTTAAAAACCTCTCAGAGAGAGATTTCTATTGCTCACCCTTCTTTACATAAAAAAGAGATGGCTACATCCTTAGTTGTGATCACAAAAACTTAAGTGATAAAGACTAAATCAGCTTTGCAGAAAGTTTCGCACTAAGCCATGGAGGAACCAGGAGGTAATCAAGATTCCTAACCCACAGTAAATTTTATTTTCTAGAAATGTTAAAACATTAAAATGTGAGGTCTACTTCTCTTCTATGTACTAAAGGTACTTGTCTACTACAGGTACTCACTCGAAAAATGTGCCCACCAGAACCTCTTCCGTCTGCAACACTCAAGGCAAGACTGCCTTGGCTGCCATGCAGGTCCCTAGAGCTGCCATAGTGACAGTGGCTTACGGCAGTAAAATTGGAATTAAAGGACCTTGACAGCATGCTCTGAATAGAGAAGGGATAGATTTAACAGAGGTTAGCGTAGCATGCAAAATTCACAAGACATGTTATGCACACAGATGCATTTACAAGTAAGCCCAATACCACACAGAAATATCATGCAACATGGAATTTTCAGTGCCACTGAAAGAAATTGGCACTATTTACCATATAGTTACATGACAACATACACATATATATACAAATTACATGTAATCCAACCATTCGAGTTCAAACACCGAAGAAAGTACATACATATAGATGCTTTTATGCTATTATTTCCTTTACTTACGATGTATGTTATTAGAAATTCATCAGAAAATAGAAATTGAGGTCATACCCAGGTGCATCTGTACATATACAGTTATACATGGAACACAAACTAACTCCTCTATAAAGATGTTTTACCAACAACCAGTTATTTCTAAGTCAAAATGGATTTCTAGAGAGTCAGCTTCATTTTATAGGAATTGTCTTATTAAAAAATGCAGTTTAAACACATAATATAGCACAAAATATATCTGCAATATATACCAGGCTCTTGGCCATTGTAATTTCTAAAAATTATCTTCCACATTTAGAAAAAAGCCTTACATCAGGGAAAAGTTAAACATGAACACACAGTTTTAGGATATAACATTTAAAAGGCTTTCACTGCTCTATAATTACCAGAATAAAAAAAAAAAAACCCTCAAAAGTGAATATATAAAAGCTTTCTCCTATTTAATAAATAGATATTAAAGATTATTATATTTTAGGAGTTAGTAGCGCCTTTTGCTGCTTACACTTGAAGAGTCATTGATGGAATCCTTCCAAATATTGTATTTATATATAAATGTCTAATCACTAATCCTACAGCTGTCTGAAAAATGTACCTCAGTAAATGCACTGCCCAGTTCTCAGTATTTCTGCTTGTTTATTCCCAAAGTTGTTAAACCATACAGGTTTCAAGTGTGCATCTCAGTAAAACATCCGCACACTGCGTCGCTGCCCATCGCCCCAAGCAAGGCCTCTTTCAGTCCCATCCCTGCCACCCCACCCCGTTTTTGCTTGCCTCCCCCTACCTTCAGCCCCCTTACCGTCGGGCATTGCCACACTGTTGTCTGCGTCAATGTGCTTTTTATCTCTCTTTTTTAACTTAATCCCTTCACCTTCTTTCATCCAGCCTCCTAACCCCCTTCACCACGGTCAGCTATCCATGCCTCTGCTTCTATTTTGTTCGTCAGTTTATTTTATTCGTTAGATTCTACATGTAAAGTGAGATCATATGCTATTTGTCTTTCTCTGACTGGCTTATTTCGCTTAGCATAATATACTCCAGGTCCATCCTTGCTGTTGCAAAAGATAAGATTTCCTTCTTTTTTACAGCCACATATTATTCCACCATGTAAATGTGTCACAGCTTTTTTATTCACTAATTTACTGATGGACATTTAGGATGCTGCTCTTTCAGGCATATGCTTTTAGTCATATCCCTGAATATTGAGGGTCTGATGACTGAAGTGAGAGAAACCACATTTTGAGCATGACACGTAATTGAGAGATATGGACATGCCATAACAAGCATTTCTGTTACTTTTTGGAAATATATTCCTTCTCCAGATTACAAAGTTGATGTCTACTATTGAGAAACATTAATGTAACATTACAGAATGAAAAGGATCTATAAAATTACAAAGTACATTTTTAATTATTTTGTGGATTCTAAAGTAATGACTAAAGACAACGCTAAACGTAATAGCCTATACTTTTCCAAACTATTTTAGAAAGAATAGGGGGTTGGCAGAAGCAATTCAGAGATTCTATAAACATCTGATTAGAATGTAAAAATCAAGAAATTATACTCATAGTTATATATACACACTTTTTAACATGTTAATGTGAGTGGAATGACCGTGTTTAAGGGCATGTAGACCTGAAACAAAGCCTATTCTTCCATTTTTGAACATACAACATTTTGTAAATATTTCACTAAGAAGCGTAGAGCTCAGAATAGGTCTGGTTTTAAATTCGGGCTTGTGCACAGATATCCATATAAAAAGGTACTCCATCACAACAGATCAACACATTGTGCAGAGCTCAGTTAAGTGTTGGGCATATGTTCTGAGCACTGTTGTTCATTACACGCCAATAGTTGTATAAAAGCAAGTGAACATAAAAATTGTCATGTTGTTATCATCTTTAATCATAGCTGGTTGGGTGCTTCTTACCTGGGGCTTGTTAAATATAATAAGTAATATTTTCAAATGCTGACATTAGTAACAATTCAACTTTGAAATGAAACTTTTAATTCATTTTCATTGTTAAATTTTATTTGTAAGCAAGTCTTGAGATTTTGGAGGCGAAATCTATTTTATATGTTAGGATTCCAGGTAATCTTTTGGGGTGGGAGGGATGTTAGTACCACAAGGTTTCAAAACCAACTAAGGGTCAACAACATATATTTATGTTGTGATTTCTAAACTCTCAGCTGGGCGAAGTAGCAACTGGGGACTTACCTCTAGAGGTAGGAGAGGCATTGTGATGTTTCCCAAATACATTTTTTAAATGTCCACCCTGCCACCAGAAGTATGTTTGGAGGACAAAAAGGGAATTAAAGAGGAGCAAGCAGATCTTCCATCAGTCTCCATCATTGTCAACCAATGCTTTCAAGTTTGAAGTCTAAATCATGTTGCTCTGTGCATTTCTCAGTTTCACCAAACTAATTCTCATCTTTAAACTACCAGTGTGCTTGCCAAGCAACAGTGACACAAATTTCTAAATATAAAAAGCTGAGAGGCACAATGAACAACGAGGTGGCTGCTACCTGCTTCCTATTTATTAAAGTCCAGGCACATCTCTGTCAGACAGGAAAGTAATGAAAGAAGAGACGTCTGAGATCTCAACTAATACTAATATTAATATAATATAGTACAGTATAATAATAAACAAGCTCATCATTTCTCCCAAATCTGCTATACCTCCTCTTGTCTGGTAGTAGTTAATGGCATTCCCAACAACCCATTATTTAAGGCACCAATCTCAAGCTTAATCTCTTTTCTTCAGCGACTGATTATAGGAATATTCCAATCAGAAGTAAATTCTTATAAAGTAAGAATTGCCTCTTAAATTCATTCCTTTTTCTCAATTCCACCAATACATTCTCATTTGTTTTCTGGATCACTAGACGGCCTCATAACTCAATTAACTGAAGTACGTAGCTTCATCCTCCTCAAATCCAGTTCCACACTATCACCAGAAGATTTTTTATAAGACAGCTATATTATTCCTCTGCTTAAGAAATTTCCAAATTCCTTAGAAAGAGCACAAAATTTCAAAACACCCCAATGGTATGTACAGTTACAGCTGAAACAAAATCAATTGATGAGAATAAAGTTGCCTAACACTTAGAGGCCGCTCAGTTACTTAAAGGTGAGAAAACAGCATTGCATAATAGCTAACAATTAAAGGCAGAGGTTCACCTGAACTGAATAAGGTACTGATGGTATTTTAGGGATTTATTTCTGAAAAATTCAACTAAAGGAATTTTTAAAAATAATGACTAACTGAGGTTGTATATATTCAGCTATTTTAAAACATCTTACATTTAATAAATAAAGGTAAGATAATTCTTGGGTAAAATCCACTGAGAGGTATGAAGCTAAATCTTAGAGAAAGAATATGCCTTAAACATTTGGGCCACAGAACTATGGCACTAATATATCAGCTTTACAGGATATTTAAAAAAATTTAACTTCTTTCAAAAAGCAAACATCTGCACACTACTGAAGAGCCAGGCAAATGAGTTCAAATAGGCAGAAATGCAGTTCAGAAAAGAGTAAATGCCATGCCAGATGCCGTCTGTGCCAGTGACAGTGTTAGTCATGTAACTGGGAAAAAAAAATCTTAGACAAAGTATTATCATTTACAGCACACTTATTTTTCTGTTAACTATATAATAAACGGCTTATTTTTGTATACATATTTATATAATCAACAATTATTAATAGATGACAAGTCATAAAATGCTAAACAGAGGGATACATGTATATACATGTATTATTTATAGTATGTGTGGCACGATCTACAAGAGACACACACACAAATATATAAAATGAATGTAAGTCCATTAGAAAACACTGGGGGATAAGAGAATGTAAAGTAGCTTATGCTACCATTTCAGTGTTTTGAGACTGGCCAAGTCTGAACTTCGAACTCTACTATTAGTACCAAGGAAAAACTCCTAGAATATTAGTATATATTCAACAATTCAGAGTATTTTGTTTCACCTTGTTTAAAAAATAAAGAATGCCAAATATTTTTAAGAAAAATCAGTGAATTCATAAGGAGGAGAATGAAAATTCATGTTTAATTACCTTTTCTAACTTTTTGGCCTCGATGTGTCGCAGTACTTGTTCTCGCCAATCATGAGGAACTTTACTTTTTCCTGGAGGATCTAATAAAGAATGCTCAGAACCAACCCTTGCATTTGGTCTTTTTGAAGGACTAGTCCGCGAATAATTGAAATCACTAACTGACATAGTTCTCTCTGGTATTTCACTAACAGAGGGTCGCGCACTTTGAGGCCTTGATGCATTTGGACCATCAATGCTGTATGTTCGCGCAGAAAGAGGCCTCTGTGATCCTGACATCACTGGAGGAGTTCTTCCGACTGGATGTAACTCTCTGTATGATAAATACTCTCCTTCAGGGATTTGGGCCCTCCTTGTGGGACCTGGCTCACCAAGACTTACAGAGGCTGTAGAGGACACACTGCTTTGTCGCTGAATTGTATTTCGAGTTGCTCCAGGAATGAGTCGTTCATTTGGTGAGATGGCCCACATTTCCCCGTGTCTTCCTGGGCCAAGTCTTGGATGTAAATGGTATCCAGTATTAGCTCGGACATTGTTATGGTTAGAGAAATTCATATTGGCAGGATGTTTGGTGTAACTGTGACTTTCTGTGCTCTCTGATCTGGGAAGGCGCTGAGAAGGAAAACTGACATGATCTATTGGGGGATTTTGTTTGGAGTGCCACAAAGTGTCCTTGACTGCAGCGCTGCTACTGTACTGGATATTGTATTGTGGAGGACCATATAGTTGAGATATAGATTGTGGGCCACTTGCTGTGGGGCCTCTTATATTTGGCTCTTCAGGATTATGATTTGAATCAAACTTAAAAATTGCCTTTGTACCTGATATTAAATCAGAAGATGAGGAAGAGCCAGTAAATACTTGCAATGGTTGATCATATAAAAGTGTAGCAGACTTGCTCCTGACTATGTTTTTTCCATCAATAGTAGATGTGATTTTAACTGCTGTACTTGGCTGCTGAAGTCCATTATCACTAAGAATGTCATAGATTTTTAGCTCCCCAGTCTCCATATTAGTTATGCTATGAGACTTCACAACAGACCCAATTGGCCCACTTCTCTGAGGGGAGAGATCTTCAGTACTTTTGGAAATACCCATATCAACAGAAGAATCAGTGTTATGTGGTTCAGTCCTCCTGGGAGACTGGGGAGTTTCCTCAGAATGGCCATTTACCTTATTTATGCATTCCACATTAGGACACTTGTTTCCATTTTCCAAGTGCTCATCTTCTCCTTTAGCATTAATGTTTAAAAAGCTCGTTCCAAGCAATATGTCCTGTGTCTTTGACCTTTCCACTCTCTCAGGTTGAAATGTATCATTAATTATAAGTTTATTAAGATTCATATTGATATGGTCTAATTTGTGAGATTCATCAGATGTGGCTGTTGAGTCAATACCTTTCTCTATAAGAACTAATCGTTCTTCAATATTCAGATCATATTCAGGTAAGTTGAAATCTTTCTTATCATGAATCTTGAATTTTTCCTCTGTTGAAAGGTGTAAAATATCTCCATTTTGTAAAAGGCTATTAAAATTTTCATCTTCTTGCCTAAAACAAAAATAATTTTATCAAAACATCATAAAGCTCAGTTTTCTTAGCAATGGGAGATTTATATTAAATGGAGACAAGTAAAATTATATTAAAATTTATAATCAAGATTAATTTGCATCAATATCATAAATCACTTAGAATATAGTTTGAGCTAAACAATAAAGAAAAGTGGACTTATTATGCATCCTCTTCTGGTGTATCTCTTCACAAATGTGCCAAAATACAAAATGTTTGAAAGATGGGAAAGAAACATGGAGAAGAGCCAATAACTTGAATAGTTGAGTAAAGAGCACAGATCATTTCTATAAATAATTCTGAAACCTTACATTATTAGCCATAGTTACCATATTAACTGTTATTAGATTTAAATATATAGATAAGGAAATTATCTGATGGATTAAATAGCTCAGAGCTCTACAAAATATGAATGATCAAAACTGAAATGAAATTTAATTTCATTAAGTGACTGCAGAGTTGGGAAATATTTATGAATCTGTTATTCCAAAATTATAGAAAATATTTTATTTCTATTTGGTGATATGAAAACATATTTGTGTCCTCAAGTTATATTTTTACAAATATTCCTTGATATTAATCTTCCCATTAGGTGACATATAATATTCACGATTAGGGATACAACACAAAAAGGTGTCGTTATATCCCTTTGTTAGCCTTTATTTCCTTACATAAAAAACATGATTTAGAAAATGCTAAACTACTACTTGCCAATATCATTAAAATTATATTATTTAACAAATTAATCATTATCTTAACATTTAAAAGGTTTTAAGAATATATTACCATACTGGGTCTTAACCTCAATTTCTGAGAACAGATATAATGATTAATCATAATTACAACTATGTAACAGCTAAACTAATTTTAAGGTACCAAAGTCATTGTCCATCTCCAAAAGTATAAATCAATACATATAAAATTTGACTTAAATATGCCACCTGGAACTTAAGAACAATTGAACTCTAAAAAAAATATTTAGCAATATCCATATAATAAGCTCTGGGTTCAGTAGCAACCCAAATCTTCCTATCAAGCAATCTAACCAAACAGATTAACATGAAGGTAAAATGGTAGTAGTCTTACTTTGATAACCAAACTCTTGAGAGCCCAAATAATAAATTTGTTTTAAACTCCAGCTAAATACCAACCTGGAGGAATTAAGTCTTGTTTCAGAGAGTGTGACCTACAAATTTAAGTCTAAAGCCAAAGACACGGAGCTCATGAAAATTTAATTTAAATACATTTGATTTAAATGTGAACACAGAGGGACAAAGGCTGTTATGCTTTTAAAAGATCTTTAAATCCTGCTGAAAGAGAGAACAGACTGGAATGAGGGGATGAGGACAGAGACACCCAGGAAGTTGAGTTCTTGCCCAAGGTGGCAGAGCAGTTAAGAAACATCACTGAGGACCAAGTCCCAGAGGATGATCAGTTTGCTGGAGGTCACAAGACTCCATGGCTGGGGAAGGGTACAGAGGAGACCTGCTTAACTGGAGCTGAACAGTGTTTGTCTGCATCACTCAAAAATAATTTCTCATTTCTAACCCTAAAAATACTCCTTTCAACTTGAATTACTCCAAATAGGCTGTTTATGTTGTAATAACTAGAACTACTGTAAAACTGTCCAACCTTTTAATGAAGAGAATTAGAATATATTTTAAATCTCTTCTTCCCCCCCTTAAAAGAATAATCTAAAATGGATGTGTATAAAAGCTAAATTAATAATAAAGTGGGTAAGAAACTATATATTGCCTGAATCACTTCTATAATATTAATCTGTGAAATCCTTTATGTTTTGGTCATATACATTTATTTGTATTTCTATCTCTATTTATTGTTCAAATAAAGTATTTTGTTAAGATAGTCACAAACCTGTTTTTGGAATTAATACCAATATGAGTTTGTTTCATTGGAGAGCAGAGTGAGGTATCTTGACTACTGTCAGTATTAAGAGAAACTGAATCAGACATCCGGGATGGAGAAGAACAGTTGCTGTTGTTCTGATTGCTATTGTGTGTAACTTCATCTGATAAAGAATCGGCGTCCTTTGTATCATCTGAAGCAAACAAACAAACAAAAAAACAAAAAAAAAACCCTCAAGCCATTAATAAAGTCACCAAGAATTTGTGTGAAATACTTCCCAGTAATGACAAATAGCATTTATATTGTCCTGGGTCAACATACAAGGGGAGACCCCCATCCCCCCAAAAGGAATTTATTTATAAAAAACTGTGTATTTATTCTTACATGTTTAAACTTCAGTCACCTTCAAAGTACTCTCCATTTGATGCAATACACGTATCAAGATGTTTTTTTCCACTGCTCAAAACAGTTTTGAACTCATTAATTTTGATGCTTTTTAATACTTTTGCCATTTTTTGTTTCACCTCTTCCACATCACAAAATATTTCCCTTTGAGGACTTTTTTTCATCCGGGGAAACAAAAACATTGCTTGGGGAGACAGACTGGGTGAATAAGGAGGGTGGGGCACGGGAGTCATACTGCTTTTGGTCAAAAACTGCTTGATACTCAGCACAGTATGCACAGATGCATTTGTAAATCACCCATCATGAAATGGACAAATGTGCTGAGTCTTCAAAAACAAATTCAATGAAGTCAAACACAGCCTCTCACAGCAATGCCAGCTGGTACACTGATACAGATGGATTCCTAGAACACTCACCTAGTGGGGGATGCCTAAACTACAAGGGGCCCACCCTCCAGAAGATAATCCCTCATATAAGGTAAAGAATTATATGAATAAGATGACAACCAGAGGCATCTATGAAAATTCAGCATCAATATACACAAATATTAAGTGAATTTAAAAATAGTAGTATCTTATTTTTTAAAAATTATAACCAATGTTAGGTTTACCCGGAATTTGATTTAGTTTGAACTACTGATAAGTTTATATTATGCAAGGTTTTCTAAGGCCATCAATTAGTTTTAGTAAATATGCTTTCCCATTCATTTACAATTTTAAAAAGTCAATAATGTAAAATATAGAGTTCAGTTTATAGCCTTAGTAAACTTATCTGGGGGAGAAATTGTATTGCACATGTACAGAATTGTTTTCATCTATTCTGACAACAAAAATGAGCAATGCAGTCAATCAAAAAACAAACACCAAACAAATCAAGGAATTTTCACAAGGTCAGCTCTTCACATTTATAAATCATTTCAAGAAAAATGTAAAAAAAATTATTTTTAGAGAGAGGGGAAGGGAGGAATAAAGAGAGGGACAGAAACATTGATGTGCGAGACATACAATGTTGCCTCTTGAGCGGCCCCAACTGGGGACCTGGTCCGCCACCCAGGCATGTGGCCTGGCTGGGAATCAAACCAGCAACCTTTCAGTTCACGGGCCAGTCCTCAATCCACTTAGCCACACCACCCAGAGCTGAAGAGTGAACTCTTAATATGTAAGATGTTTCGGTGTGTAACAAGAATATAAACAGAAATAGACAATATTCATATTGTCTATAGGCAGGTTATATGAAAAGTAGTTATCTTTAAAAGTGGTGGTAAAAAGATAATATCTTTACACTCTAAACAATATTTTTAACTAACTCAATTCTATCCAAATCATAGAAATAGTATGTATAGACACAGTCATAGGAGATCACATGAATCTGAATTAAGGATATTTTTGTTGTTCCAAATATTTCACTTCAAGTAGTCTGTTTTGAGTTTGCAGTTAAAAACAGCAGCACATGAGGCTCTCTAACTTCAACTTTAAGGTATTAGGGTCTCAGATTATAAATTTTTTAAATAACATTAAATTAGATGTCACTTAAATTCTTTCCAAGGTATATCCCTCTTCTTTCAACTTTGTATCATGGGACAAGTGTCATAATTATATTAACATAAAGTATTTAGTATATAGCAAGTAGCAACTAGTACATACTCAACAAGTATCACCACTATTATTATCATGAAATACAAGTTATTTGAGGACTACCCTTGACACCAAATTTCATTAATGCCATAAAGGTAAAGATTGGATAAATATTTGGTGGAGGTAATACAGAGATGTTTAGGGCATTAGTGGGGAGGAGTAAGTAAAGGATAAAATGAAGAGACTGATATCCTCCAAGTTCCCATTCATTTCTAAGAGTCTGAGATTTTATGAAAGAATGGCTGGGAAGAAGGATGGTTTAAAACAAGTTCTGGGATAGATAAAATACATTAACAACAAATGTCTATTGTACATGAGGTCCTGGGCTAGATCTGAGTACACTGAATAAACCAGTGCTTTTTATATTCACAAAATCCATTAGCCTCATTTTATGTAAAATTGTATATGTATACATGGATAAAATTAGGTAGCTCAAGGATCATATAGCAAATAAGTAGTAGAAATAGAATCACAAGCTAGGCCTGCCTGTGTAAAAAGTCCATGCCCTTGTAAGTAGACCTGCATAAGGGAGGAGAAAAGGTCTATGAAGATTTTCCTTTAAAAACGAGAGAGAGAAGAAAGAGACCTTTCAAAGAGGCATATATTGCCATGACCAGGGTGAGTTGGTGGGTTGAGTGTCATCCCGCAAAGCCAGAGGTCGCTGGTTCATTTCCGGTCAGGGCACATGCCTGGGTTGCAGACCAGGTCCCCTGATGGGGGCGTGTAAGAGACAACCAATTGATTTCTCTCCTCCTTTTTCCCCTCCCTTCCTCTCTCTCTAAAAATAAAGAAAACCTTTCAAAAAACATGTTTTAAAAAGTGTTGCTAAAAAGTGTTTTAAATTACTTAATGACATTTAAGGAAATTTATTCTAAAAAATTGTAAATTTTATTCAGCCCATGTCTAATCTTGGTGCTTCCCTTTAACAGCTGACCTTTCTTGTTATTACTCAGTGCTACCACTTTCGGCTGGTTAATGGAGGTTTCAATTAATGGTGGTCGCATCTCTGCCATTTTCATCTCTTCATCAGAAGAAAGTTCCTCAGATTCCTAATTTAAAGAGAAAAGAGTGAAAATATTTATGAAAACAGATTTTCATTTGTTTAAATGAATAAATATTAAGTCATAAGAACTTTAAAGAGAAAAGAACATGTATGAAACCTTTTTATAGTAACATGTAGTGATTAAAAGTAAATGATTTAAAAATTTTAAAGACATGACAATAAAACTATGGTAGTTATAAACAATATTCCAAGAGGCCTATGTGATAATTTTCTGGGGCAGGCCTTAATTTAAGTGTGTTAAGCATCACTATGTGCCAAGTACTATGGCAGGTGTCAGAGAAATAAAAATAAACAAAACACAATCGCTGTCATTGAAAGAACTCTGTTCCAACAAAAATCTCCTCTTAATTCCTAAGTTTATTGCTCTAGGGATCACTGGTTTCCAAGGAATCAGAAGGACTGAGGTGTTCTTTTGCTAACATGAATTAATGATATTTTTTGCCCAATTTAAGACAGAATTTTATATTATTCTCCATTATTTCTCTCTCTAATATTTGGCAATTGTCCTAAGTTATTTACCATGGAGAGCTTTTAAGTGGAAAGACCTATTAATGAAAATATTTTAATATTGTATATAGTATATGTCAAATTATTCCCAGTTAATGATGAAAATAAATGAAAGGCTTTAGAAAGTTATTCTGTTAAAAGTACTAAGACTTTCAGGTACTCATAAGTGCCATAATGAAGATACGGACTAGAGTCAGCAAACTTTCAGTGAAAAGGCCAGACAGTAAATAGTTTACACTTTGAGATTCATATACTTTGTTTCAACTTCTCAACTCTGCCACATGCACAACAGTAGTCACAGACTATATGTAAACAAATGACCACGGCTGTGTGCCAGTAAAGCTGAATTTCATCTAATTTTTCACATCATGAAATACTCTTCTTTTGAGGACTTCTAGCCAAGATGGAGGTGCAGGTAGATATACTTTGCTTCCTTGCACAACCAAAAGAAAGACAACAACAAATTTAAAAACAAACAAACAAACAAAAACAACCATAACTGCCAGAAAATCAAACTGTATGGAAGTCTAACAATCAAGGAGTTAAAGAAATATTCATCCAGACTGGAATGCCAAGGCAAAGAAATAAGGCCCAAATGAAGGAATACATCAAAACTCCAGAAAGAGAACTATGGGGCAAGGAGATAGCCAACCTATCAGATGCAGAGTTTAAAATACTGGTAATCAAGATGCTCACAGAAATGACTGAGTATGGACACAAAATAGAGGAAGAAATGAAGGCTATGCAAAGTGAAATAAAGAAAAATATTCAGGGAACCAACAGTGAAGGGAAGGAAAGGAAACCAGGACTCCAATTAACGATTTGGAACAGAAGGAAGGAGTAAACATTCAACCAGAACAGAATGAAGAAAGAGGAATTTAAAAAAAATGAGAGGCTTAGGAACCTCTGGGACAACTTTAAACATTCCAACATCTGAATCATAGGGATGCCAGAAGGAGAAGGGGAAGAGCAAGAAATTGAAAACTTATTTGAACAAATAATGAAAGAAAACTTCCCCAATCTGGTGAAGGAAATAAGATTTCTAGGAAGTCCAGGAAGCTCAGAGAGTCCCAAAGAAAATGGACCCAAGGAGGAACACACCAAGACACATCATAATTAAATTACCCAAGAATAAAGATAAGGAGAGAATCTTAAAAGCAGTAAGAGAAATGGAGACAGTTACCTACAAAGGAGTTCCCATAAGACTGTCAGCTGATTTCTCAAAAGACACCTTAAAGACAAGAAAGGGCTGGCGAGGAGTATTCAAAGTCATGAAAGACAGGGATCTATATCCAAGATTACTCTATTCAGCAAAGCTATCATTTAGACTGGAAGGGTGGATACAGTGCTTCCCAGATAAGGTAAAGTTAAAGGAGTTCATTATCACCAAGCTCTTATTAAAAGAAATATTAAAGGGACTTATCTAAGAAAAAGAAGGAGATCAAGAACAGTAAAATGATAACAAACTCACAAATATCAACAATGGAACCTAAGAAACACAAACAAAAGCAAACTGAGCAAACTAGAACAGGAACAGAGTTGCAGAATGGAGATCATATGAAAGGTAATCAGTGGGGAGGGCGCAGGAGGCAGAATGGGGGGAAAGGTACAGAAAATAAAAAGCATAAATGGTAGGTACAAAATAGACAGGGGCGGTTAAGAATAGTATAGGAAATGGAGAAGCCAAAGAACTTATATGCATGACCCATGGATATAAACTAAGGGGGTGGGGAATGCTGGTAGGAGGGGGGTGCAGAGCAGGGGGAGTAAAGGGGAGAAAAACATGGGACAACTGTTATAGCATAATCAATAAAATATACTTAAAAAGTTAAATAAATATTCTTCTTTTGATTTTTATTCAACCATTTAAGTTTAAAAGCTGTTCTTAGTTTGCAAGCTATACAAAAACAGGTGGGTAAAAGGCTGGATTTGGGCCATAGGTCATAGTTTTTTAATCCTGTTCAAGACTGTATATTGCGACAGAAAAGTTAGCTAATTAGTAGAACAGGCAAATAATGTAAATTCAGTTTAGTCTTGATGGGTAAGCTAAGAGAGGAATGACATTCTGAGTGGAGGAAGGATAGAAATAAGAAGAGGTATGGCAAGTTAGCTCCATGCAGCTGGAACTCAGGATAGGTGGTCGGAGAGACAGAAAAGGATAAAGATTATGCTCTGAATATGGACACAAGTATGTGTTGATCATGAGCGGAGACTGCTAAGCCAGGAATTCCCAACATCACACTATCTTTTAAACTAGTGACTCTGGTATTAAGAATGTATGGGAAAAGACTGCCAGAAAGGAATCTACCCATCACAACAGTCCTGAAGAAAAAAGACTGCCTCTGTCCCTAGGCAATGGCCGTGATGGCTGCCATAAAGAAAAAGAATTTCACAGAAATTTTGGGATTAACAGGACTTAATGACAGAATGAATGCGACAAGGAGGTGCAAATGGTCTGTTCTAATCTTTGATATCTGCAGCATTTAAACTGCTGACCAGACTTTCTCCTTCATGAAACTGTATTACACCTGGGCTTCTGGGAACCACAGTCTGCTAATCTCCCATCTTTCTCCTTTGCTCACATCACTTAATCTTCCTGCAGTTACCTCATATTTTTCCCTCTTTTCCCCTAGATTTTCTTCAATGATTATGTTTAATGTAGACAATGCTCCAATTTAAAATCTAGCTTTTATTTCTCATTTGAGCTGAAGATCCACATGTCCAGCTACCTACTGAACATGTCTACGCAATGGTCTTGTCACTTCTTCAAATTCCGTCTTCCAAAATCAAACTTGTCCTTCCAAGTCTATTTGTTCTCTTAATACCCCTGTTTCTGCTGATGGCATCATCACTGCATTCAGGCATGGTCACAGGACTATTCCCTCTTCTCCATTCCCTATAGGCAGGGGTATTCACACATCACATCTGTAATAGCCTTGCAACTAATTCCAGTGTGCATTTTCTACTATCATTACTCGAAAGCCCTCAAACTTGGAGAATTTAGTATCTGTTGCCAAATAATTCTAATACACAGCCCTATCACAAGTAACGCTCTGCTATAGAGTCTTTAGTGATTCCCTAAAGACTACAGAACATTAAGTCCAAACTTTTGAGCATGGCTTTCAAGTGCTTTGTAATCAGGAGCAAATCTACTCCACCAATTTTACTTCATACTACCAGCTCTAACATATTCAGTCAGATAAGACATGCTCTTTCTTCATTTTCCAAGCACCATTGTTTTGCTCTCATTATTCTATACTTCATTCAGTTCTATTTCTGCTAATTGAAATATTTCAAAATAAGGTTAAGTGCCTCCTTCATCTTAAAGCATCCTTGAATTTTTGTAGCCAGAAAATATCTTTTTCTAAGTTTTTGTAGTCCTTACTACTTGTATTAGCACTTTTCTTATATACTTCACACAGTCTAACCTTAATTATATTCTTATGTATTCATTTTTCCATTCTGCCACGATAGCTCCAAACAGTCCTTACACACAGAAATTACCCTGAGTAATAAGTCCACTGGGACAAACCTAATAACCTTTTCATAGACTGTTACATTAGGTTCAACATATGTAATAATACACTAAATGATGTGACCCATTTAATACGTTCAAAAGCGATGAGTTTTTCCCTGTAAAAAAGGCTAGCTCACAGGATAACTATGTAGATGATGTGCTTAAAACTCATTTAAGTTTTCAGGAATAAAGATGCTATTATAAATCCACAGTATCAGTATTTTTATAAACCAGTGATTTCCAATAGAACTTTCTATAATAATAGAAATGATTTGTGTGGTTTACCATGATAGCTACTAGCTGGACAGAAGTGGCAACCAAACATTTGAAATATGGCAAGTGTACATGGTTAGTTCAATTTTTAATTTTATTTATTTAATTTAACCTAAATTTAAATAGCCACTTGTAGCTAGTGGATCCCATAGTAGACGGTGCAGCTGTAAATCAAAAAACACTTCAGAACTCGACTCTTAAAAGTTACAAGCTAACCATTTTCCATTACCTCCAGCAGTGTATGAGGGGAATGAAAATGGCAGTTTCTCCGTTAAACATAAGCTATCATATGATTCAGCAATTCTTCTCCTAAGTGTATACCCGAGAGAAAAGAAAAAAAATGTATGTCCACACAAAAAAACCTTTACATACATATTTTCAGCAGTCTTATTCAATATAGCCAACACGTAGAAATAACACAAATGCCCATTATTCATCATTACAATGGAATACTGTTCAGACATAAAAAATGAACGAAGTATTGATTCATGCTACAATATGGATAATCTTGAAGACATTATGCTAAGTGAAAGAAAATCACAGAAGACCACACAGACTGTATGGTTTACATTGACATGAAATGCCAAGAACGGACAAGTCGATAGAGACAGATAAAGTAGATTAATATGTAAGGCTCAGGAAAATGGAGAGGATGTGGGGTGATGATTACAAAGTATGGGCTTTATTTTTGGGGTAATGAAAATGTTCTCAATGTGCTTGTGGAGAATGATGGTTGCACAACTTTTAGAACACTAAATAAAGGCCACAAAACTGTATCCTTTATTTAAATGGGAGAGCTGTCTCTGTGAGCTATACCCCTCAATAAAGCTGATTTTAAAAGAAAGCTACAGCTTTCATTAATCCACTAGAAGAAATTCTATTAAAAAAAAAAAGTATCAGCTATTCAAGGGAAAAAAATGCATCACAGCCAATGATAAATGCTTAGATAGCATTTATCTAAGCATTTAATAATAGAAGTATACCTATGGCAACCTTGTCATTGTTAAGTTACAGAAATAAAGGAATGGCTATTACGTATTTTACAGAACTAGAAATAGAATCACCGCAAGATAATTTACATTGTAAACACTTCAGTACAATGGGTACAAAAATTTGAGTTTGAAGTGGTAAATGATAGAGTAAAATGAAATTTCTCAATGGTAAATGTATTAGCATATTTTCTGCAACCAATAGCAAATTCTCTCCTATCTTCAGTTAGCAACATTAAAATATAAAATTCTTATCAGTTATGATCATCCCAAAATCATCATAAAGCCATACCTCAAAAACATCATCATGATTAACATGCTTCAAGTTCTCAGATGCTTTCATATTTGCAGTATTTGTAGTTACTGGAAGATTCCCAGGATTGATTTCAGCTTCAGGTTCATTGGTCTTCTGTACAGAGTTTCCTATCATATACTTTTCTCTTTCCTCAGCTTTGCTTCTTACTGGGGTAGTACTTTCTGAAGTCTAAGTAAAAGAGAAGAACAAGAATTCATATTCCTTATGCTTTATAACTGTTCTTGTATTAAATTTCACATGAAAATTTAAAAGTAATTTAACATCTTCCTATTCTGGATAAATCAAGGAAACTTCAAACATGGAAATCTGTAGCACTCAGATAAAATCCTCATTGTGGGGACATATAGTCCTCAAAGGTCCATGAGCAACATTAAACTTTCTAATTTACTTGAGGGTACATTTCATCCTAGAAGCTGCAAAACAGATGTTTATGACTGAGTCACTTAGCTCACCATGCTCAAATTCAAAATGGTTAGATTGGGTTTTTGCTCATTTTAAAATGTATAATAACTCTAGTGACATAAAATTTGTTTCTGTGATAGTGTGGAGAAAAAAGTCCATTAAAGGAACATATAATTTAGGAGTTTGTGTACGTTTCTGAAAGATCCCAAGGAAATGCCCACAATCTGTCATAGTAATTAAATTTACAATTAGTATTGGGTGGAGTGAATCAATGGGGGTGAAGTATTTCTATTACAACAAATTTTCTGACTTTCATTATCTCATTCTTTGTTCAGGCAATGATTTTTTAAAGGTTATGCTGACACTCCAATGCCCATCTTGATAGTCTGCAACCACAATGAAGTAGTAATAGTAGCAAGTACAGAGTTCACTGTTGTTACAGGTTTTATTTCAGTTAGCTGACAACACCACTCTAAATTTGGGAGTACATTTTAGTGTATACAAAAAGGATCACTATATTAGTTATTTAAAATTTTAAAGAACTTGAGGTAGGTTTTGGTGAATTCCTTTGAATTGAGTTTTCTAACCTTCACACCCACATCATTATTTACAACTTGCTGATCTTCGTGTGGTTTCAAATCTTTTCCGGAGTCTTCATTAGTCTCTTCATCTTTTAACCTATGTACAATGGTTTGAACGGTTTTGACCATATTCTTGAGCTCATCTGGGTATGGTGTTGGATATCTCTTTAAATTTCCCTCCTAGAGAAATAAAATAAGCAAAATTTAAAATATGGATAGATATTTCTAATGTTAACCTCAAACTTTAATGTATAACCCATCTTAATTACATTGGCTATCTGGCTCATAGGGGTAACTGAAAACAGATGACAGGCATCTATCTGAAAGCACTTAGACTCAATAAAAGTATGGTTTTATCAACAGTCAAAGATGTCACAGTTATAGATTTCACTGTTTTAAAATCTTTCTTAATAGGCATAAATATATTCACTTAAGAGATATATGGCATGGATATTGCCAACACTGTCACTTGGCTTTGAAACAGATTATGTTTTTCAGGTAGATATCTTTCCAGACACATATAAAATTCCTACATTTATATACAAGGCCTTAGGTGCAGGGAACTAAATACTTCAAAAACCTACCTGTCATTTTCTGGGATTCTGCTAGTTTATATGAGGGAAAAAGAATTACATCCTTAAGTAACTTAGAGATGGGTATTTCCTACTTCTGTCATGTGATACACATTCTCAATCCCATAAAGAGACAAAAGTTTCATAACAGAATTCTTTATCCCTAAAATACATACAAATAAATCCTTAAAAAAAGAAAATGGGAAAACAATAATCTTTTTTTCTCTTATATATTTATATACACTATGAAACCTGGATTTTAATCACATAATTTTATATTGTTCTCAAATTATTTCACATGATACATAATCAATAAAACTTCAGGTTCCTTGAGAGCAAGGAATTAAACCATACATTTCTTTGTATGCCCCCAAACAGCACAGTATGGGTATACAGTACCCAATAAATAGCAGCAGACTCACCCTGGGCGGTGCTTCCCTTTCATCCTTGTCTTCATCACATTCAAATGCCACTTGAGCCCGCTGCTTCCTCTGTTCTTCCCACAATGAAGGATTAAAACTTTCATTATCTGATATGAACATAACTAGAAAAAAAACAAAAACAAAACCCACCATATATTACTGTAATAATGAAGAACTATTATTCACTTATAATTTTCTTTTATGAGATGTTTATTAAAGAAAGTCAAACTGGTCAATGCCAGCAGCTATAAATCTACACGTCACAACTAGGCTGTGATTTTACCATTTCTTTACAATATCAATCACTTCTTTTCTTCCCTAAAGTTAATTTGCCTTGTTTTGTTACTAGAAGGTTCCTAAAGAGAATCTAATAATTAAAACACTATAAATATGTGATTTCCAGAAGTTTCTTAAAGAGCAACATGGTAAAATATAAATTATTTCATCCAAGTGTTTGTATTTAGAGATAATCTAATTCCAATATGTTCATTATGTATTGTGCGGAAGGTAAGACAAAAAGTTTAAGATATTTTGATAAAAAGACAGCAAGAGTGAGATACATTGCATCATGGCATGTAATTACATCTTTGCATTAAACATTATATGTAATATAGCTTTACTAAGTAAATAAGGTGCTTATATTTTCTATAACAAAATTAAGGGAAATTAAAAATTTCATATAAACATTTACACATCCTGTTATCTGACTGATTAAAGGTAAAGATTTAACAACTGTACCAGTTTCTTTGCTTATTAGGCAGTTAAAAACATTAAAGCTTTTAGAAGCACCTATAGTAAGCTAATAGAAAAACTGAAATTCCTGGGATACCCAAATGTGGTTAGTTTGAATATTTACGCAAAAATAGCATAATTATTATTTATTTTTAGTCTTATTTTATTTTGGGCTTCTTACTCTTCTTTACTCTCATACCCAAACTAAGAATGCCATGAAACCAAATACTAACAATGGTTAATGGAGTTTCTGGATTCAGCTTTTTGTTTTCATTACCCAGTTCAAGAATTTCTTCTTTAATTGCTTTGTGTAGTTGCTTAATAGTCAGTGAAGGATTGGTTTTGTTTGCGGAATGTGGTTCAAATTGCTAGGAATCCCTATTGACATACTGTTTGGTATACTTGGAAAGGCAAGCAGAGCCAAGCAGCTTCCAACAAAGCTGACTTCCAGAATTCAGAAGATTCTCCTCCTATCTTACGCAGTAATTTCAATCACCAGCTTAGGCCAGGTATCTCTAAGAGCTTTACATTACATCAAAACTATTTTATACTACAATTACTTCAGAACTCGAAGATAAGGAACTTTTACCTTGTCTTTCATTCTTGTCCATTTCTGGTCCCCTACACTTTCTACCCTTTGATATAAATCTCCCATCTCTTGAGATTTAGGGCATCGGGCAATAACATTACTTTCTCTACATTTTAGACATCACTAGTTCTGACCACCCTGGCTATATTCATTGAGGACTCTAGTATCATCTAGTTCTTCTCTCCACTGAAAAACTGCCAATATTCTGAATGATGACAATGTGTGATGACTGCATCTCAACACTATGTAGTTCTTAATGTCCTCAATTCCAATGTCCATCTGTACTTCACCCATGTGATAGACAACCATGGTATATTTAAGACTTTAGCTTCTATAAAACTTTTCCTCCTCTTGACCATTACACTTATCCTTCCAAATCACTCACTTCCTTATTATTGCTGGTAAACTTCAAGTTCCTTAACCTCATTTCTTTTTCTTCCTGTGAAAACCACTCAAGGTTTTACTTCCTTTTTCTTTTCCTTAAGTCATACCTATCCAACAAAACTCTTAATGTGGTACTTCAGTCACCCACCTTCTTTGCTGTGCACTTCTGAATTCTACCAGTGATAAATGACATAACCTTATTGTTTAGAACCACTACACATTTCTGGTATTCCCTCTTCTTCGCTCCCTCTTCAAATCACAAGCATGTCTCTCTCAAATGCCCTTCCTCCAATCTATAGGGCAAATTTCTCTTTGAGTTCTCTGAGAAGAGAAATGAAATAAAAACCCTCAGACTGATACCCACCCCTCAACATCCTGTTTTCCCCATCTACAAATTTATTGTGATATAAATGTATACTTCTCCTTCTTCCTGTTTAAGACTGGTTCCTCTAACTAGGCCCAAGATATCAAGTCTTCTCTTTCAAAATTATATGTCACTATTCTCCTCTAGATCATAGGTTTCTTGAAAGCAAGGATTTTTATCTTTAAATACTCAGATCTAACACACTGCCTGGCACAAAGGTGGTCAATAAAAACAGAATGAATTAAATGTGAACCAACTGTCTACTTCTCTTAAAGGGTTACACAACTCCAACACAAAAATACATTTCTGACTTACCTATTGCCCACATGCACTGTGATAAAGGAAAAAACTTTTCTTATAATCCAAAAGAAATGTACCTGCCTGACCACGCAATATGTTATGGTGCTGTCCTTACAACACCCACTGTGAAGTATTTTAAGAAACACATGAACTCTAAGAGGACTCCGAATATTATAAATCTATCTCAGACTTTTCCATTGAAGACTCTTCCGCTCTAGAACAGATCTCCAAAATAAAAAATTAGAAGTGACGATATCTTATTTACTATTTGTATTTTTCCTATCAGAAATAAATTGCTTACTTGAACTTTATCTTTTAAGAAGAAATAGTAAGAAAAGAGAGGTGAATTTGATCATGGAAATGGAAAACAGTAAGAAGAGACATCAAGGCATGAGTACATGAGTATGCCCATGATTAATAGAGCAAAGAGACAGGATTAGCAAACTTTTCCTTTAAGTGGCCAGATAATAAATATATTAAGTTTTATGAACCAAGAGACAAAATCGAGGATGTCAAAGTTCCATAAGATTTTTGACAAATTTAGAATATACCAATAACTGGGTAACACGTTCCTGCTAATAAGGCTGAAATTCTTACTGTTGGAGTAACATTTTGCTTAACTGGAGTTCAATATTAGTGTTCACTAGCATCAAAGTAATGCAAAAAATCACCTGTTAAAACTATTCTTACCTTGTGAGCTACATAAAAACAGGCATCAGGCCAGATTTGGCCCATTCGGCCATAATCTGTAAACCACATTTATTGGAACAAAAAGTATTTTGAGGGAGGATATTTATCCCTGGAGGAGAAAAACCTCACAACTGTGAACTTAATAATTTAGTTCATTACCTAAACAAAACTATATATATTTTTACTTTATTTATTTAAGTATATACATGTTTCTGAGTAGTTTTAGTCATTGTTTCAATCATGCTTGGTTATTTTAGTGCAAGTAAAAATGAATGGAAACAAGTCTAAAGTCTCTATATGACAATAACAAATGCAGATATACTAAGTACTAACAACATTAACATAATAAAAACATCAAAGATTAAACATGTTCTTCAGAGACTGGTTGATGACAAGGAAAACAATACTTTTGTTTGAGAAACTTCTTTGGAATAGTATCTATATTGATTGCTTTTTAGTATTTTTCAGTTTTTATTCTTTTTCTGAAACAATAAAAGTAAAATAAAGAATAAGAATGAATTTTCCAAGTTTGCTTTTTCCACCTTTTAACAGGGCACAGAAAACTATTGAGTCTGACCCACTTCCTGTTTTTGTAGTCTATGATCTAAGAATGGTTTTAAAATTTTTAAATGGCTGGGGGAGAAAACCAAACAAAAATATTTCATGACACAAAAATTACACAAAATCTAAATCTGTCCATAAATAAAATTTTATTAGCACACAACAGTGCTCATTCGTTTACAAACTGTGATTGCTTTCACACTAACATGGCAGTATCAAGTAGCTGCAACAGAAACCTTATGGTCTACAAGGCTTAAGGTATTTATTAAACAGCCCTTTAATCACAGTTAAGGGGACTAAATGGTAATGGAGAAAAAAATACAATAAAGATTAAATTTAAAAAGATGGGCCTTCGCTAGTTTGCCAACACATGCAGTTAAGACATTAAAGTCTCTGCTCTGTACTATGAATTCACACCTTCTCTTTCCTCACAAATATTGTAAGTATTAGCATTCGATCTTCCCACATAAAACTACTGTTTGAATATACTACGTAGTTGATAGTGATACTATTTACGGGATGCTCACTATTTCCTATTATCCATAAATCACCTTCAGAAGAAAAGTGGAAAATTGAGACATGCGTCCTAGCAACTAAGGCAAACAAACACACAACCTATTGGTATATACAACCATTTATTACAATTCCCCACACTGCACAAAAGCAGGGACATAAGTCAGAACTTATGTCTTATGTCAGAACTGAGTACTTGCATAAAACAAAACATTGACCATCTACAATTAAATGTATTATATTTTGTTATAGATATGTATTTCCAAATTATATTGCTAAATATGGATTGGGGGCAGGTTTAAAAACATGGAAGACAAATCTTGCTTATAAACTTTTTCTCTAAGCCTTTAATTACAGACCTTCCAGTGAATGAAGCTATTTACATCTGACATCTCACAAGTCTTAACAGCTAATTTAATTCAAAAGCTAAACAGTTCTGCTTCACCAAAATAAATCTTATCAAATATACCCATGAAATAATAACTTAAAGCATATCTTTTAGTCTTTCTTGCAAAGAACAAGAAATAATCAGCAGAGAAGTAATAAGTTTCCTGATTATCACTAGTTATGGAACAGAAGTAAAATGATTTTAGTTTTTAATCTATTAAGTATTTCAAAGCTGTGTGCTAAACCTGCTAAAGTATGTAAGAATAATAATAGGTGATTTGATTTTGTCACAGTGCTAAGCACTTTATAACCACTGTTTCTCATTTTTTACAAAAACCCTGCAAAACAGGTGCTATTGTCATTATTTCAAGATAAGAAAACTGAAGCTCAAGAGTTTATTTAACTTGCCTATGGTATATTTAAAAAATTAAAATTAATGCTTAATTTAGATGTGTTCTTCAGTGTCTGTATGGATTAAGAATTAATTTAGTATTAACTTGGGGCCATAAAGATTTTCACTAGTTTCAGAAAAATATAGAAAATTATAATTTAAGTGTCACATATAATATACATAACACAAACACACATTACAACATATATCATAAACAATTTGTTCCTCAGTTTAAAAGGCTTTAACACCATATTGTTGAAAAAACATTTGTTGCCAAGAGTAAAAGGTATATTCCTCTTTCTTGGCAAAATGTAATTAAGAACTTAGAAGTAACATTTAAATTTAGAATCTACAGATTATCTTTACCTGGTATATAGATCCAGGGGTAGTATTAATTCTATGACCAACAACAGAAGTGGAAGAAATAGTTCCTAATTTAACATTCCCAATCACATAACATGTAATGCACATTCCCAACATTTGGCTAAATGTAATTTAGAATAGATCCATATTTGATGTCTGCTATTTAATTTCAAGTAATCATTTAAGGGAGTATATTACATGCATATACCTCTAAATTCCACTATCTATAACCCTGAGAGACTGCCTTATTACCCCATTTTCAGAGAATTTTATTGACCAATTCTCCAAATTCCCTTCAAATGGTAAAACTCTTTGAGACTTAAAATTCACTTCATACCTATGCTGTGATTTATTAGTATTAAAAGAAAAGAGATTCTTAAATTCCTACCATCCTCAGTCCTTGGCTGCTGAGGGAACATGTAGTTAGTAAGCACCATTTTCTGGGTCTCTGAATCAGTCTCTTTTTGAAGAGGTATCAAGGGTTTGGACTAGGGAAAGAAAAGAAATATTTAATTTTCAATAATCCTGAAGCAAATACACATCCAGCAATTCCTCTGAATAAGTACTCACCATTTTTTATATTAAGTATCAATGTTATAAAAACAAATTTAAATATACATAATAAAACTTCAAGCATTGATTTAAAACCCATAAAAATCTAAAAAATAAAATTTCATTTTTACTATAAAGAAAACTCATACTGTATTGCAATTATCACTGATCACCAATAAAGTTTTTAAAGATCTCATATACGAAGTATATCCACAGCCCAATAATTACTTATCATAGTGATTTAATAAAGCTGTAAAATAAGCCTTTCCGTTTAATGTGTTTTCCCCCTCTACTTTTCACTTTTGAGAAGATGCTTTCCAGAAGTGATATAGAAGGTTTAGTCTAGTTATCTGCAGGTTTCTCTAAATGAGAAGAGGGTCCTTAAAACAAACAATAAGTTGTAACCTGCTTTTCTCTTCTCTCCTGGGTCTCTTCTCTATTAATGACACAAAAAGTTACTCAGTGGTAGAATTGAAAGCCCATTATATTGGACCTCATTTTTTCTTATTTTGTTCCCCTAACTGGTTATCAAGTGTTTTTAATTTACTTAACACTAATGCTTGTGCTAGTCCACTGATCTAACATGCCCACAATCCAAGCCTTGGCCGACTCCAGACTACCCACTCCTCATGGCCCCTGCCATACTGTCAATTAATTTTTATTTACTCTTGTGAAAACCTTGCAGTTAGCCATAACACTAATCCCATTAAACATTTCCTCTGTACCTCCTGTTTGCTCCACAGTAAACAAACCAACTGCCCTGTATCTCAAATGTCTTTTTCACTGAAAACTTTCCTTGACCTCTTCAGACAATGGGAATGGTAGATCTACTACTTCTCAGAAGACAGGGCTTCCCTGAAGCCTTCTCAAATACAGGTTGCTTATTCTCCAAAAACTCACAAACCCTAAGTCAGAGGTGCCTCAGGGCTTACAAATGCGGTTAGATCATTACTCTTCTCTCCTCAAGTATAAACACCTGTTCTTTTGAGGCACATAAACCCTGCCCTTTCCTAATATCCAGTGACCTCCAGTAGTATTCCTTTATTCCTGATTCTTTTATGCCAATTTTTCCACAGTCATGGGTAATTCAACAGATAAAAAATGTAGATGAAAACCTATACTTTCAGTCCAGTAAATAAATACTTCCCAGAGGAAAGTATAGTGAAAGAAACTAAAGCACAATCTGGAGCACCATGAGGGCACTAACATATAAGGCACTGTCAGAAGAAAAACTCCCGAAAAGGAAACTGAGGAGTGGCCAGGCCAAAGGACTACCAGCAGAAGATACAAAGACTCCACAGCTCTCACTTCACTGCTCCTACGCGACCTCTGCCTCACCAACACTGCCACCACTGAACATTCAACTCTATCACCATACCATCATTCTTTCCTACGTCTGCTTCTCTTTTTGTACCTCACCATATTTCATCATAACCATTTTCCTGCCAATTAACAAGATTTACTTGCTACACTGTCCTTCTCTTGCACTTGGTTTGCCAAAGCTGCAACTCAGAATCATTACAATTATGTGCTTCTTCTGTATCATACAACTGAGCAAATTGGTGTAACTACAAGATTATGATAACCAACTTCAACATGGATCTCAAAGTTGCCTGAAAATCCTTCTACATCTCCTAAATTGTATTCTAAAAAAATTTTTAAAGATAAAAATAGGATTCAAGAACTGCTAAAGAGTTTAGAAATGGCTACATTCCAAGAGCTTTCATCAGATACATTATTATCACTTGTTCTCACAATCTACAGACCCAAGCCTCCTCAAGAAGATAAGATTCCTGCCAGAGCTTAAGAGTCTACCAGCTTCCACTTCACTTAGCAAACCCCTCTCATACCCTTAATCTTATTCTCCACACAGCCTCTCTCCAAAAACCTTTAGACATGCTAATATTAAAGGGGCCCTTCTTACCCTATCCCAAGCTACTGATTACTTTGTTTCACTCCTTTTCTTTCTCATGCAACCCTCTTAAAAGTCTAATCAACAATCATATGGCTCCATTCCCTCATTTGTTTATTTCTCAAACTGTTTCAATCTGGTTTTTGATATATATCTCTAAATTTTCATTACTTATAACTAATTAGCTATTACTTACCAAAATATAATGTCCACTTTTCAGACTTCATTTGAACTGAGTTCTCAACAGCATTTATCCTGCTACACACAGCTCCTTTTAAGTCAGTCACTTCCCCCTTAACTTGAAACCACCATCACATAGTTTTCCTTCTACCTCTATGACCACTCTTTCTGAGACTGTTAATCCACCCAGCACGATAATGGTAGTATTCCCCAGGATTCATCCATCCCTAACATTAAAAGAATACTTTTAAATAATCCATTTAGAGAAAATAGTAAAAGTCATGAAACTGCGCTCCAGAAAAAGTGATTTCAGATGATGGGATAAATCTTATATATCTTCTTGTGCCACAAATCTTTTGAATGAAGAAATTTTACACATTAAAAGGAATAGATTTATTATGGTACTGGAAAAAAGGAAATTATGCCTTCAGGAACAATTTTGAAAAATGTATGAAAGTTAAAAACTAAAAGAATGAAGAAACCAAGAACATGGAAGCCACAGCCCAAAACAAAGTGGCAGGGGTGGGGAGGCTCTCGGCCAACGGAATTGTTCTATACACGCCTACCTTGAGGTCAAAGGTACTTTAAACCCAGCATACCTAACTAGAAATTAACACCTTCCCATAAAAATATTTTTTTTCCCTCTGTGGTTCCCTATTTTGGTTATGGTATCAATATCTACCTAGTCCACATATATGAACTCTTCAAATGTACTGATGTGACTTTTTAAGTTAAACCTTAAATATACTGGCTCTTCCCTGGTGCTGTTATAATTATTTTCAGCCAGCACTTTCTGTGGCCTTGAGTATGAATGACAATGCCCTCCAATTGGTCTACCCTGCCTTCATGCTCAGCCTCATCCCCTGCTAAATCCACCTTCCATAGAGCAGTCCTAAATCACTTTCTAAAACATTATTCATAGCATTTGCCTGCTCATGTTATACTGGTTCCCCATCTTCTATAGGACCACTTCTTCCTCTTAAACTAAAGATATATATGTACTCATCAATAACTACACTGATCAATATATGCACTGATCAGTAACTATAATGACCAAATGCCCAGTCTTCCTGAGATTTTTACATTTTACACATTTTTCTGATATAACTATCATAAAGCTTCCTTTCATTATCAAAAGTGTCCTAGCCTAGTAGGGACAATAAATGACATAGCACTTCAATCACAGTAATTTTCAACTGAGCCTGGATATGGCTTCAGAATCCTTAAAACAATCTTTCAGAAGCCACTCATTAATTTGAGTTGACATGCAAGAAAAAAAATCTATTTACCATCCTTGAAATATAATGAAAGTTCCTTTGCATGGCATATCAAACCCTCTGTGACCTCAGTCCCTGTCTCCATCTTTGGCCTCATTTGCCATTCTTCCATCTAACAGGCTATGCTCTAGTCCTAATGAACCATTTGCAGAGTTACTGAATATACTAGCCTGATTCACCAGTAAGTGCTTAGGCTCATGACATTTCTTCTAACCAGAACACTGTTCCCTTTTCTTTGTTTAAATCCTGTAACTCTTTTAAGAAGTAATTAGACATCTCCAAGTTACGCTCCCTTTCTTTGATCCTGAAGCCTAGTCCTACCTAGTCATTTACAACATTGTATTAAAATGACCTTCTTCATACTCTGTTTGGCACTTCTTAGTTGGCCTGGCACAAAGCAGTTGTTCAATAAATGGCTTTTGAATGTGAATGACAAAATGAATGAGGGAATAAATAATCAATTGTTCTGTTCAAATCTTCAGAGAGACTCATAAAAAGTACATTACTGCATGTATTGCTTATAAGTATACTCCCTACATGGTCAGTGAAATATTCAGGAGCAATTAATTTCTATAAATTATAAACCAGTGTAACATACCTCTGCCCTACACTTTGTTCTTTTACAGTGAAATGTCTGCTTTATACTGTATGGGAGGTTTTGTAGCTATGTTAGATATGTTTTACTATTTATTACTAGTTTACTATTTTTCAATGAGAGGAAAACACAAAACCCCCATTACCACAATTTTTGCATTAAAATAATGGGGAGCAAGAAGAGACCATTGTAAATATGAAGAAACTGTATTAGATACTAGATAACTGCACAAAAATGAGCCATCTGGCATAATTTACTGGCACTGGTTTATTCACTAACAGTCTCAGAGTCCTCAAGATTGGGAGCCATGTCTCATTCATGCCGTAATAATTGGCACGCACCTGGGCCCAGAAAATGTTTTGTAAATCCAGCTGCAAAATGCCAAGTCAATTTCAAATCCAGTTAAGAGAGACCGGATAGATAAGAGTTCCATACATATGAATTGACATACTTAATAGATATAGTAATCACTTATGTTCAAGCTCTAATGAAAGCAAAGGTATTGTCATTTAATATTTCATTCCCTAATTTACAGACCAAGTAAATACTTCAGTTCAATTCATAAGTAAGGATTAACACCAACTTAAGACTTTTAGGATATTAATAAGAGTTAGGTGGAAAGGGGCTCTCAGTTAAGAAGTCTGGAGAATCCTGAAAACAAACAAGTGGGTTTCTTTACTGTAGTACACAACAGGGTTGTTAGTATAATCCAAAAGAGAGACATAATATAGTCCCCAAAGTGAATGTGACCATGGAACTTATAAATACCTCATGAAACTAGTTTATCCAAACATTTAGAAAATACAGCTTTAGATAAATTATTATAAAGCATTGCTTGAAAGTAAATACTAAGCATTAATTTATGAGAAATATTAGCAAATTGTATATTCAACCCTGCTATTCTTCTAATACCTTTCAAGATTTATGTTTATTTGTAGCCCTGAAACATTACATAGATACTTGCTTGCCTCCGTCTCCCAAGAGAATGTAAACTTAGTAAGGATGTAAAAGGAGTCTATTTGCTTCACCAACATATCTCCAGCTCCCAGAGCAGTTCATGGCCGACTATACGCTTTCAATAAATGTTTGTCAAACAAAGATAAGCCTAAGGTATAACTCTTAATTCCTGAGCAACACTTCCTTAAGGTGTGTGAAAGTGCTTAATTAGAAGTGTAATTTAAATTAATTATCAAATTTCTACAGATATATACCATAAAGAATCACTATAAAAATTAAACAGCTAGGGAGTATTGTGTCTGACTTCCTAATCTGTCTTTTTTAAAAATAAATTTAGGAGACATTAGACAAGTTCAACAGGATTTACTTTTTATAAATCTACACATATTTCACAAAAATTATATGTCGATATTTTCTAAGATTTTCCTTATACAGAATACATTTTTCACCAGTACATGTGTTCACCAGTATAGCTGTTCTTAAATGAGTCTATGTAAATTTGAATGTGTAACTGTATAGCACAATTGGAACTTCAGTAATTTACAGAATTGGAATGCTCACCTGATTATCTGAGAGCCACATCGCAGTCAATTGCTGTAGCTTTGTAAAGCTAAAGGGCAAATTCTTTAATCTGTTGGAAAATATATAAACAAAAATTATACTTTAAAATGAGAAATGTTAAAATGAGACTAAATCTAATGGTCTTCTAAACAATGTTATGTTATTGCATATGGAAGTAAGAAAAATAGTTAATTCAGAAAAAAGAGCCAATATAGGTCTTTGAATAGGATATAAGACAAAATATTATCTAGTTTTGTAAGAATTAAGTTTTTAATATATAATTCTTCAAGTGAACAAATTTGGACAGGAGAAAAACGAGTAATCCAGTAACCTCAAAAAATTATTGGATAAGAAAAAATATTAACTATCCCTACCTTAATGAAAAGACATAGATACATTAAGCAAAGTCTCATAAAATTGCTTTGGGTATTTTATTTGGATTTAGAGAGAACAAACTGTTATCAGAAGCACTCTCAGTGACAGTTTGTTATAAAAACTGTATTGGTCTGTATTTCATTGTGAGCCAGCACTTTCATACTCAGGAAGACTATTTTAACATTATAATGAGTAAAAACAAAGTTATATAAATATTTATTAGGATGATAAATGAGAACAGAATCCTATTTAAAATAAAATGTCTACTTAAACATTCTGTTTATGCTTATCTACTCTTTTATACCCATCTTCCATGGCAATTTGCTGAAACCCAGGGCTCTAGTTTTAGGGTACAATGTATAGGCCAAAACAAGGATTTAATTTTTTTTTTTTAGAACAGAGGGCAGTGGTTCTTATAGAAAATGGAGCAGTCAGAACATACTATTTAATCAGGAAACTGGGTTTTCATTAAAACTCTACCTTATAAGCTATGAGAGTCACCTTAAATCTGAGTCTTAATTTTCTCCTCTATAAAATAGGAATACCTGTTATACTATTTCACAGGATTGTTTTGAATACTTTGTAAGATCCTATGAAGGCAAAATGTAAAAATGCTCTAGAAACACTCTTTTATTAATACACTAGTTCCCCCCCCCGCCTTATACACAGAGGATAAGTTCCAAACTCCCCGCCCCCTTGCCTGAAGCCAAGGATAGTACTGAACTCCATATATATTTGCCCCTAATATATATATATATATAGGTGTATATATATATACCATTTAGGGCAGTGGTATATATATATATATATATACCACTGCCCTAAAAACAAAGCACTTTACAGCTTCTTTTTGGGATATCTGAATTGGCAGCATCACTATCCTTGTGCTTGGAGCCATTATTAAATACAATAAGGATTATGTGAACACAGCACTGTGATATGGTGTATGCTAATCTGATAAAAAGAGGGCTAAGTGACAAACAGGGCAGGTGGATATGCTGGACAAACGAATGATTCATGCCCACAGTGAGACGACATGAGATTTCATCATGCTACTCAGAACAGCATACAATTTAAAACTTATAAGTTGTTTATTTTTTGAATTTTTCCACTGACTATTTCGGACCACAATTGACCACAGGTAACTGAAACTATATAAAGTGAAATCACAGATCAGGACGACTACTGTGTTCTATCTTTACTTCAGGAAAAAAATATGGACAATCTGTTCTTACCTTAAGGATCTATCTTCTACACCTTGGTTATGCTGTCCAAGCTATATCATGGGTGTCTAATCACACCTTTGCTCAGAAAAATACAAAGCAGATTACATTAAAAGCTGCTTTGTTCAACAGCAGTATTAAGGTGAAGAAGATTTGATTTTAGGAATAAAAAAGGTTGCTATAGAGTAGAGAATAAAGGTAGCATAGCTAAATTCAACACAAAACAAACTGTGACAACCACAGTATGTTAATTAACATAATGTAAAAATAGATCGTTATTTCAGTTAAAAATTCTATTTAAAAAATAAAAATATATGAGAAGAATATGCATTGGATTTTCTAACACATGAAATTTTAATTTTATCCAATTGATGTCTTCTATAAACCAACTAATGAATACATTATTACAAACCTATTGTCACTTAAATTAATAACTTTTAATTTTTGCATATCACCCATTTCTTCTGGAAGTATCTCAAGTTTATTGGAATGGAGAAACAGCACAGTTATATTTTTCCAGCTGCCAATCTGAAAAAAAAAACCCATACAATTGGGGAATTAGATATTTGGCCTACTACTTAACAGATATAAGTAAAATATTTTCAAAAGTTACAAAAAATACTCTTCTCACTTCTAAAAGAAAATTGTATTTTCCCTTTTCAATTATTAATTTTCATGTAGGAAATAAAGTGTCTAGGTATCTCTTATAAATCAATATAGCAAGTTATTCTTCAGAAAATAACTTAGTTACGTAATTATTTCTCACAGAAAATAAAAACACACTAGGTAGCTATAATAATTACAAAATTGAAAAAATAAAAATTCAAGAGAAATGAAAAACACAGCACCTCGGGGGGCAACTGCTGTAAGTAATTATGATCTGCAGCGAAGGTCCTCATATTAGTCAGCTGCCCAACAGAGGCAGGCAAAGCTTCTACTTCATTGAAGCTACAATCCAGTTCTTCTATTGATACTAACCTTTAAGAAAGAAAATGCACATTTAAAAGAAACATTTCTTACATATAATCCAACATTTAAGAACACAGGAACATTTGAACTTGACTTTAACAAAACTAACAAAACTCTATCTCCACTAAGATAAACTCCACCAATAAAAAATTGGCCTATCTTTATTAAAAATGCACTCAGCCTGTAATCAACTGTTTATTTAAATGTTTATGACATCTCCTTTGGATGGTATTTACGCAATTATCTGAAAATATATATGGTATGCTGAAGTGAAAGAATTTACAAAAATCTTACCCTCCTATAGAGTCTGGTAGATACATTAACTGATTTTCATCTATTTTAAGAGTTGTTACATTCTTCAATGAACCTATTGAGAGAAGAAATAATATACAGTTTTCCAGCATGAAGTAGAAGTCAGTCAACCAAAGTCAATGTGAGCACAAATTGTATTTGACATTAATCATAAAGAACTTTCCTAATCAACCTGAAGACACCACACGACCTCATCACTCTCCTAGTCCCTTACCCTGTATTTTCAATTTTCACCTACATTATCACCTCTTAACATATATATTTAACTGTTTAACCCCCACTAAAGTGTAAGCGTCATAACTGAGTAGAGAATTTTTATCTGCTTTGTTCACTGTTATAGTCCTCCTCTTTAAAACAATGTCATGGCACAGTGAAAACATGTAATACAAACTTGCAGTATTAATGGGTTAAAGAAATGGTAGTATGAAGGTGGTTTTGATAGGTGTGTAACAAACTATTCTATGTATACTAAATAATAAAACAATAAAATGGAGCTTAAGTTAAAAGTAAGCATGCTGAATGAATTTTAGCAGAATTTGGAAAATGTAAACTGAGCTAAAACAACTATGTAGTTCAGTTGAAAAATATGCAAAAGTATTTTCTTGGTTTTTATATCTAAACATCACTAAGATGCCAAGATGTAACTTTTTGGTTCTTTAATCAAAACAATTCCATTCCCTTGATGCACCATCAGACAAGCATCTAGACAAATCAATACATACTCTCACAGAATTCACCAAACTGAAGTAAGATTGAAAAAGCTATCAGATTAAAGGCTATGATCAAAATAAAACAAATAAAAAGGGAAAATAAAGAATTAAACCAAGTTTGGAAAAATCAACCTCTTTTTAAAAAACACTGAATCTTATTATAGGGATAAAAATGATGTTTCCTTAAAGAAAAACACAGTAACATCAACATAGGAGTAAATTGTGTGACTGATCAAATCAGGAAAAAATTCAGCAAGATCTGTGACTTCAGACTTCCCATCAAGATGGAGGCATAGGCAGACATGCTTCATCTCCTTCCATAACCAGAGAAAGAATTACAACCAGATCTCAAAACTAATAATACCCAGAACTGTCAGAAAATAGAACTGCATGGAAGTCCAAAAACCAAGGATTTAAAGAAGACAAATTCATCCAGACAGGCAGGAGATGTGGAGTTGCAGAGACAGGAGGAGAGGCGGTATGGTGCAGAAAGGCAAGCAGTAGGGCAGCAGATTGGAGGGGAGGGACACCTCAGGAGACAGTGATCCCAGCCCCCGGCCAGACCGCACAGCCCAGGGCTCCAGCACCGGGAAGACTGATCCCCATTACCTCTGGCTGTAAAAACCAGCAGAGGTTGGGGTGGCTGAAGAAACTGCCGGATTTTTGCTGCTTAAAGGGCCAGCACAGTCTTAGAACGTACCCAAACCTACTTACTGTGGGATTTACCACTGGGGTGAAGTGACTGGAAATGGGGTGAGCACTGGAACAATCACCAGAAGCCAGGAGGCTGCAGTGGCCCCTCTGGGAGTCCTCCCCACACAGCCACAAAACGGTGAAGCAGATGACCACCCCCCTTGGAAATTAACTAAGGCTCTACCCCACATGATTTACAGGGGCGTTTTCTACATAGGTCACATTACTAAGACAGGGAGTAAAAGCAGCTCTACCTAATACACAGGCACAAACACAGGGACACTGCTAAATTGATGAGACAAACAAAAATGGCCCAAATGAAATAAAAGAACAAAACCCCAGAAAAAGAACTAAGTGAAACAGAGATAAACAACCTATCTGATACAGAGTTCAAAACACTGATTCTCAGGATGCTCAGAGAACTCCTTGAGTACAGCCGAAAAATAAAGGAAGAAATGAACGTTACACTAAGTGAAATAAATAATCATCCACAGGAAACCAAGAGAGAAGGGAAGGAAGGTAGGATTCAAAACAACAATTTGGAACATAAGGAAGAGATAAACATTCCACCAGAACAAAAAGAAACAAGAATTCAAAAAAAATGAGGAGAGTACAAGGAACCTCTGGAGTATCTTCAAACATGCTAACATCGAAATCATAGGGATGCCAGAAGAAGAGGAAGAGCAAGAAACTGAAAGCTTATTTGAAAAAATAATGAAGGAAAACTTCCCCAATTTGGTGAAGGAAATATAAATACAAGTCCAGGAAGCACAGAGAGCCCCAAACAAGTTGGACCCAGAGAGGACCGCACCAAAACACATCATAATTAAAATGCCAAAGGTTGACGATAAAGAAAAAATCTTAAAAGCAGCAAGAAGAAAGCAGAGAATTACCTACAAAGGAGTTCCCATAAGACTCAGCTGATTTCTCAAAAGAAACTTTGCTGGCAAGAAGAGACTGCAAGGAGTATTCAAAGTGATGAAAAGCAAGGACCTACAACCGAGATTACTTTGTCCAGAAAAGCTACCATTTAGAATGGAAGGGTAGACTAAGGTGCTTCCCAGACAATGTAAAGCTAAAGGAGTTCATCACCATCAAGCCATTGTTACAGGAAATGTTAAAGGGGCTTATTTAAGAAAAAGATCAAAACCATGAACATTAAAAATGCAACAAACTCACATCAACAACTGAATCTAGACAAACAAACAAACAAACAAACAAACCACACACACACACAGAACTAACCAAACAACCAGAACAGGAACAGAATCATAGATATGGAGATCCCTTGGATAGTTATCAGCTGGAAGAGGGAACGGGGAGAATGGGGAAATGGTACAGGGATTAAGAAGCTTAATTGTTAGGTACAAAACAGACAGGGGTAAGTTTAAAATAGCAGAGGAAGTGGCGGAGCCAAGAACTTAGATGTAAGACCCATGGACATGAACTAACGGAGGGGACTGCTGGAGGGAAGGGGCATATCAAGTAGAGGTGGCAAGGAAGAAAAAATTGGGACAACTATAATAGTATAATCAATAAAATATACTTTAAAAAAGACAGAATAAAAATTTACTTTGATCCATCTTAAAAAAGATTTGTAACTTTAGCAATAAGGTAGTACAACTATGTCAACAAATCAAGCAATGACAAAAACTTAATTTCTCAGCTTTTACATTACTAAAAATTAATTACATGAATTAGAAAGTAATACAAACCAATAGTCTCAGGCAGCTGTTGAAGTGAATTGCTTGATAATATGAGGTCTTGAAGGTTTTCACATGCTGAAATTCCTTCTTCAACCATTTCAATATTATTTTTAGAAAAATCCAGATATGTGAGCTGTTTCAAACTACCGATAAACTGTAAGTTTAAAAAAAAATCTAATGACTCTATCAACAGTAAGTAATTTGTAAAACATTTAGGTAATAGACCTAATACCAAGTTATATCTTGGAATTAGAAGTTTTATATGAAATAAAAAACTCACACATTTTTTAATGTATACCATTAGTATTCAGTAATAAAGCAAAGAGCTCTAACTAGTTTTAGCCTAGCAGAGTGACAATGGATGTATACTTTTCTTTGGGAACTCAGCTGTCCATCTTTGGCTAGGGAGATGGCAGATACATGGATTCTTACACTTTAGGTATGGGAGCAAACAAAATGTCAGTTGGTAAGACAGGAACTACATGGAAAATATCCTATTTGAACAATTTCATGAGCAAGGACACACACACAATCCATGCTATAAAAAAACTATTTTACAAAAGTTTATTATGGAAACTATTTAATTTTAATCAAGCATGTGTTGACAGTAAAAAATATAATCTTATAACTAATTCTATTAAGAATTCTGTTAAGAATTAAGCAATCATCCATTTTTCACTATGAAAAACTAATTTTAAAATGTACAGTTCATAAACCTACAAAGACACAGAGCAATAAGTAAAGCCATTTGAAATTTGATGTACATACCCCTGGAATAAAAGTCAGTCTATTGCCATCCATCCAAAATTCTTTCAATCCACTTAGCTGCTCAAGTACTTCAGGCTGTTTGGATTAGGAGAAAGAGGGGAGAATCCAATTATTTACTTGAATGTATTTATTTGCCAAAAAGGCTCTGGAAATTTCTAGTAACTTTTAGGTTTTTTTTAAAAAAATTTTACTTATTTATTTTTAGAGAGAAGAGGAGGGAAGGAGAAAGACAGGGGGGAAAACATTGATGTGAAAAAGAAATATCAATCAGTTGCTTCTCACATACATCTCCACCAGGGACTGAATCTGAAACCCAGGTATGTACCCTGACTGGGAATCGAACTGGTGACCTTGCACTTTGCAGGATGACACCCAACTGAGCCACACTGGTCAAGGTGATAAGTTTTAGTTTAAAACAAAAAAATAAGGAAGAAAAAAATGTAAAGTTTTCACTATGTTATAGTAGTATTAGTAAAGGAGAATATGAAGATAGACATTCCTTAACAGAAGATTATATAAAATCATTTAAGCTTTTGACTATGTAATAGTTTCAAGTATTTAAACAATTAATAAAGAAAAAAAATAAGGGCCACTGCTTTCAAGAATATAATGAAAAGATACTCTCAATTACTTGTAAAAAGATTGAGTCTTTCAAGAAACAGAAGAAGGAAAAGAAGAAATAGGGCAACATACTTCTTAAATGTCTAATAGTAAAGGAAGTTAAGTAAACCAAGCCATAATCGCATGATAAGCGAATTCTGTTATTTTAAACTCCCAGCAATTACATGGTGAAATATTGTTTATAATATGTTGCTGAAGACCAAAAATAATCAGTCAAAGATATGCAGTGGACCTTGGTATTGAGGCAAAATTTGATCTCGGGCATTCACCCTTGGAGGCTTTTCTGAATTCTTCCTTCAAAGATTAATTCTGTCACCTTAAAAACCTGTGTCCAATCAATGACATTATGATGGCACAGAATATCAACATATCTAATTACCATAATAATATGAGTAGCACATGAACTGCATGTCATTCAGATTTATTTTTAACATATAAACGAAGATAAAAATTCTAGGTGCAACATGGATTAAAAGAAATTTCCTTTTGTGCTTTATTGTTATAATGCTAATACTATGGTTTTTATAATGTATAATGTTGAAACACTAAAATGGTACAAAAATTAATGATTTTTCAATGCTGCTCTGATTCTCAAAATAAGAATTTTCAAACAGTTAATATGGAAATAGATTAATACATATAAAACAAATATTGAGAGAGTACAATAGCGAATTTACAAAGCATAGAATATGTATTTTTTTTACAAGTAGTAAAACCTCCTACAACATACAATAAAACCAATCATAAACCATCTTCACTTAAAATACAATAAAGAATATGAAGAAGAGTATTTTATATAAAATATGAGGTACCCCAAACCATGCTCCTCCACTGACGTCAGCTGAAAAGCTGACTGTATTTAGTGAACAAATGTACAATAGATTATCCACTGGGCAATCATGCAGCCGACAGTTCTGAAAGATTCTTGCTCTCAAGACTATCACTGAAATCTACCACAATTAAAAAAATAAGCTTGAAGACATACTGTAAAAATTTTAATGATATTAATTAATGATATTCAGGTTAATAAATTCTTCTTCAAAAATATATCTTATTCTCTTGGAGAAATGATTAAAGCCAAAAAACTGCTTACACACTCCTTTCCTTTTTCATTCAGCATCATAGTACACTGTGCATACAAAACAAAAGCATAATCCAGAGATCTCACTATCAACTCAAAAATAATACTTTCCATTCAATATTTTCCCTTTAGCTACTATATAAAATTATTATAGGGAAGTGTTTTATCATTAAATAAATTCCTAAGCAATATGTCTGGAAGTTATTTTTAATCAGAAAGTAGTACTTTTCCTTATACGTTCTAGTCTAATGAAACTTTGTTTTTCCTTTATAATCTCTCACTTTCTACTCCCTATGCCTAAAAATGTTTGGGTACCTTTTTCCAAGCATTTCTCAATTTTACATTTTACCTTTACTCTTGTCAAATGTTTCTATCAGATTGATTTTTCCTGTCAAGAACTTCCATATCTTGTCTCTCAAAAATGCATGTTTCTTTTTTTTTAATTTTATACTTAAAAATGCAGAGAATATATTAATTTTCACATTTTGTTCTTGAAGAAATATAAGATTATGGATAGGGAGATTGGTGATAACTTACCACTTCTGTGAATTCATTACTTCCCAAATCCAGTCTTTCCAGCTGGGTCAGTCTATTCATGGTTCTATGCACAATGGATTAATAAAGAATTTAGTATACAAAAACATCAATTACATGGAAGCTTTCAAACTAATAGTGTAAAATGTTCTTATGTAATGTCTATTGATGTGTAGGCTTTCGCATGGTGACAAAATGAAAATAATGTCCTAAGAAAAGAAATCATCATACAGTTAATGCCTCACTTAACAATGGAGATACATTCTGAGAAATGCACTGTTAGCTGATTTCATTGTTGTGTGATCATCACACAGTTTTCTTACACAAACCTACATGGTTCAGCTTAGTACACACCTAGGCTATATAGTATAGCTATTGCTCCTAGGCAACAGCCTGTACAACATGTTACTGTCTGAAAACTGCGGGCAGCTATAGCACAATGATGTTTCTATCTAAACATAGAAAAGTTACAGTAATTCAGTATAAAAGATAAAGTATGTGCATATGCAATTCCATCATCTCTGGAAACTTGATATATTAGAAATAGTAAGTAAAATAAAACTCAAATGTTTCTCTGGATTTTTAGTGGGGAAAAAAAGGACATCTTAATTGTAATGTCAATATACTACAGGCCTAACATTAGATAAAGTTAATTTTCCCCAACTCTTCCACTTTAAATATGCCATTCTATTAACTCTAATTTAATTCATTTCACAAAACCAATTTTTTTCAAGGTGCTTTATTTAACTTATATTTATTGAGTGTCTTTTCTCAGGTACTATAAAGTACCATAATTCTACTTCCCTTACTCATACCTGCCTTTGTCCAGAAAACCTGTAAGTCAGTTCTAGTTTGCTTTATAGGAAAGCAAAAGGTGTTTTCAAGCTCTTTCTCAAGAAAGCTGCTATGGTATTTAATTCCTATATCCATAATACTGTATCAGGTGGACATTTCAAAAAAGTAAAGAGGGCTGTGAGGTGGGGGAAGACTGAAAGACGAAAACACAATTTTATTTTTCTTAATTCAATATTCTCATAATGACTAGATAACAGAAAATTCACACATAGCAATTAAACACTGTATCAACAAGGGAAAGTTATAAAAGAGGGTACAAAAAAGAAAAGCAGTTCATTAAAAACTTCAATTATGAATGACATCCTTAAAAAGTTATGTTTTAAAATTGATTTAGGAAATGTGACACATATATACAATAAAAGAAGAAATACAGTGTAAAGTCCTAAAAAAGCATTTCCATCTTAACTTGTTATAGCTTATATTGGCAACTTTGGTCCTACTCCAAACTTCAAAAATTTCATTTTCAAGTCTTTTCATTTAAGATCCAGCTTTCTACTCCAAGAAGAAAGCAGAAACAACAGTCCTTCAATTTCCTCCTGCCTACTTCTAAAATTCTTTTGTATTTAACTCATTTTTATCTTCTCTATTCTTGGCTAAGAGGAAAAATACATATCCTTTATGTTCTTAGTATTATGTTCTCCAGTATTACGATAGTATTAAATTTCACTATCTACATACCTACGATGGCTTTCCCACTGCTCTAATCTTTGATCATAAAAAGGCTTAGTCACATAGCTTAAATGCATTATGATTTTTTATTTGTGAAGCCTCAAAGGTTTTAATCGTAAGTCTTAAAAAGAAAGCATGAAAGAATTATATTTGTAAATCTGAAGTTAAGTTAAAATAAGTGAATTATTTATGATCAGATCGACCATATTAATCGTAGGCTATTTCAATAAACAATTTACATCTTGATTATTCAAATCTTGAAGAAAACAGTCAAGTTTTGAGTTAAGAAGTCATTAATGTCAATACCAAATGGGACAACTGTAACTGAACAATAATTTTAAAAAATGAAAAAAAATATAAATCGTAATTCCCACTTTAATTTATACTTACAACTATCACTATAAACTCCAGGCATTCCAGCACTGAACAATTATTAAGCTAATTCATAATGTCCTATGGGAATCAAAACTAGATATAGTTGTCCTGGCCTGGTAGGTCAGTTTGTTAGAGCATTGTCCAGATATGATAAGATTGCAGGTTTGGTCCCTGGTCAAACCACACACAAGAATCAATCAATGAATGCATAAATAAGTGAATTAACAAATTGATGTTTTTCTCTCTCCTTTCCTCCCTCTCTCTCTAAGAATCAGTAAATTAAAAACAAAAAAACAAAAAAACTACACATGCTCTTTGCCCTTAAAGATCAGAGTCATGGGGGGAAGCAAGGAGATCCAAGTACATGTGTACATGTTACATATGTTGGTCAATTAAGAGGAGAGTGAAATCTATAAAAAAAATTGGACTAGTGTAATAAATGTAATAACAGTTATAAACAAGATGCCATAGAAGTTGAGTAAACAGAACTAACTCCTGGGGAACTGGAGATACTTCTTTGAAGAGGTGACAGTTAACTCCTGACAAATTACAAACAGGAGTCAAAATTTTCTGTAAAGGGCCAGATAGGAAATATTTTAGTCTTTGTATGTAATTTCTGTCACAACTATTCCACTCTACAACTGTAGAACAAAAGCAGCCATAGACAATACATAAATGAATGAATGTGGTTCCAATGAAACTATTACAAAAGTTGGCAGTGGGCCAGATTTAACCATAGACTATAGTTTGCCAATGCCTAAACTGTAAAAAATGTAGCAATGAATTCAGGGTGTTGAAGAAGACACTTCTTCAATAAATGAACACACAATGCACAGTATATTTTTTTAAATCCTTATCTGAGGATATGTTTATTGGTGTGTTGTTTGTTTTTTTTTAAGAGAGAAACAAGGAGGAAAGGAGAGAGAGGGAGTGAGGAAGGAAGAGAGAGGGAGTGCTGTGAGAAACATCGATCAGGTGCCTTCTGTGAGTGCCCCAACTATGAATGGAATCTGCAACCTAGGTATGTGCTCTGATCAGGATTGAAACAACAGCCTTTTGGTGTACAATGATGCTCCAACCAAATGAACCACTCAGCCAGTGCCACACAGTGTACCGAGTCTGTAGATCTGTTTCACTTTCATCTTATTTGCTCTTGGACTGCCAATTCTTTTTGATGTTTTAGTTTACCAGTAGGGGCCCACCACCCCATTTCTAATTTTCAACAGACTACAAAACTAGACAAGCTCTCACCACCACAGTTATCAGATTTCACATGAAGACTCTATGGATTTCTCTAATGAGTACTACATAAGAGCTCTAGTATATGAACTGGGACTCTTATTTGGGACTCAAGAAGGTTTTACACACTTATTATTTTGACTTTTGTCACACAAGACTGAGTTCCAAAGATTGTCAAATGACTATTAAATACCAAATACAGATGCAAAGATTTTTATATTGAATAGCACTAATTTAAGAATAGTGACCACAAATGTCAGTCTTTTAAAATAATTTGCACTCATATTTCAGATATTAAAAAGTTAACATTTCTCTAAAGACTCAAGAATTAAAAATTCTAAACTAAATTTTAGAAAATACAGCACCTTTACTTACTTTGGCAACATTTTCAACTGGTTTTCTCTAAGTTCTAATATCTGGAGTTTAGTTAACCTGCAAAAGAAAGAAAACAAATCAAGCATCTATGACAAAGACAAAGGATGTAATTAACAAATAAATGTTATACTCTAAAGCTTTAAAGCAACCAATATTTATTATGTAATTACAACATGAAGAATACTGTATTAAAAACTGCACAGCAATACAAATTAATACAAAAAAAGACGACTTTCTGCTCTTCAGAATTAGTGGGGTATGGGAAGAACGAACGCTTCCAGACTTATTTAAAGCACAAAATGACTGTCCCTAAATATCTAACCTAGAAGAGCACTTCATGCCTGTGAAAACACCTACCAAAATTATTAGCTATTTAAGAATAATAATTCAACTCAAGTTCAGCTCTGAAAGGAAAGGATAAGAGAACACAAGAAAACATGGAAATCCTCTGACAGTGATGCACTTTCCAATAAATTTAGAGGAAAATGAGCAGATTCAGTGGCACAGAGTTGCTAACTAATGCTACAATAGCAATGATATTATACTGTATAAATGTATCAATCAACATGTTGCTATATACTTTAAATTTATACAATGTTATGTGTCAAATATATTTCAATAAAAATAAAAAGTGGTCCAAATGCCAGATGCAGAACACGAATCTGACAAGTATTCAAGCTTTATATATGTGTATGTCTAAATTCACATATACAAATATGTATATAAATATATAAAACATGGATAATGCAGCTCCCACAAGACAGTCATCGGGCTGCAACAATAACCTGAATTTTTTTTTTCTTTAATAATTGACATTAAGTCAATTGACGTAAGTATAATTGACATTATACTAGTTTTAGGTGTGCAACATAATGATCTGATATTTGTATATTTAGAGAAATGGTCACCACAATAAGTATAGTTAATATCCATCACCACACATAGTCACAAATATTTATCTTGTGATAAGAACGTTTAAGATCTATTCTCTTTACAATTTTCAAATACACAATATAACAGTATTCATTAATATAGTCATGCTATACATTATATCCCATTACTTACTTATTTTATAACTGGAGGGTTGTACCTTTTTATCACCTTTGCCCATTTACACCCCCCCCCAAATACCCCATACATACCTATAGCAACCACCCATCATCAATTTATTCTCCGTATTTGGTTTTTTTTTAAAGTTTCCACATGTGGAATTTTAAGTGAAATCATACGATATTTATTTTATTTTTAGACAAAAAGATGGCTATAAAATTTTAACATGTAGTTGTATAGCAGTTTCTCTAGCAATTAATTTAAAAACTATAATAATTTGGTACCTAGTATTGATTCATCTTTTCATTTAAAAAATTACTCAGGTACTATACCAAGAACAGAAACGTTCAGATATTGCGGGTGGGGAGAGGCAGTGTGGTGGGATCCAGACACACATGTTCTTTTCTCCAGAATTTTGAGTCTCATGGAGAAGACAGATAAACCAATAAACAGATCATTTTCATATGTAATAAATGCTAAAAATAAAGCATTACTTATACAGAAAGTACCCCATTTAAACTCAATTTTTTTGCATATTTCAAAAACCAATTCATCTTATGTTACTTTTCTTTTTAAATCTTTATTGCTTACTGTTTAGTTAGAAGAACACATTCATAGTCAAAGTAAGTTCTGAAGAAACTAAAAAACCATAATGCTTGGAAGTAATAACAAAAGAAGAGCCTATGAAACTATAATTAATAGTATTAACTAATGCATCTTTTAGTTTTATAAACTTTACAGGAACTAACAAGAAAAGGTTTTAGAAGAAACTATAATTTACCTGCCAAAATTAGCTGGCAAGAACTCAAGAAAAGCATCATTCAGATATAGCTGGGTTAGGTTTAACAGCTGAGAAAATCCATCAGGAAGCCTATATAAAATATATAAATTAAATTCACATACACAATTTCAGTCTCTTATTAAATCTGTCTAACCAGCACATGTTCTAACAGATAACAGTCACCTCCTTAGTTTTATGAGTGATCCTCAAATTGAAGTTGTTGCCTTTTGTAATAACATACGTGTTTCAATGTTTATATCTTTATCTCTTTGTAAAGAGGTAGTGAGGTGATATTTGTCTCAAGATAAAATCTGCATAAAACTGTCAACTATGAATGAGCCACAATACACAGAAATGCATTTAGGACACAATATGACATCTGCAGGCACTCTTAAAATTTTCCTTAGCTAACATTGATCCAAAAGACTAGATGAGGAATTATAAGCTATGACAGTATTGACTTTGGAGGGCTGGATAATTCTTTGTTGTGAGAAGCCTGTGTTCTGCATGGGTGGATAGTTTGCAGCTGCCCTGGCCTCTACCCATCAGAAGCCAGTAGAGCTGTACTGCCCAGCAACACAGACTGTGGAAACCAAAAATGTCTCCAGAATTTACCAAATAAACCTTGAAGGCAAAATCATCCCCATTTTAGAACTACTTGTTAAGATTATTTCCAATTTCAACGTCCATCCCCTAAATAATCAAATAAAGATTGTATAATTTTATAGTAAGCACAAGAAAGAAATAATATCAAAAGCTAAGTGACATTTAAGGCCATATGAGAACCTACATGTATTAGCTTTTTTTTATTTCCTCTGACTTACAAAAGAAATTATAGATCTAAAACTTGATGTAACTAAAAAATAATCTTCACATGTTTGTCTTGGATTTTATCTAGAACAAAACTTTCCTGCAGTAAGACTAATCTGTCTTTGACTCATCTTTCTCCCTTATGTCATATTCCTCCATCTTCCACAGCAAGTGAAGAAGAAATGGTATGGTTAGAAAAACTCACTACATACAGTATTACAACATGTAAAAGGTGGTTTTAACTTTCAACTTAGCTATACTAACCAATGTTTCACTCCATTCATCTTCTGCATCATCATTCCACTTTTGCAAAATTTAACATCTTTGATACCAGGAAAATGTTGTTTATAGCCATTACCACTATAAATGAGTACATATGACCTCTGGTATATGGTGACAGAGGTGTCCAACCTGCAGCTCAGAATGGCTATGAATGAGGCTCAACACAAAATCGTACATCTACTTAAAATCTTTTTTTTTGCTCATCAGTTTTCTTTTGTTTCTATATTTAATGTGTGGCCTAAGACAATACTTCTTCCAGTGTGGACCAGAGACACCAAAAGGCTGGACACCCTGAACCAATCACATGGTTTTTCTGTTTTTTGTTGTTTTTCCCTTCTTGACTGTTCAGCTTACTATTTTCAAAAGTTTGAGTGTGCCACACATTTGACTCACAGGTAAAGACATTCTTATATTGTGTCAATAACAATGAGCAAGGAGATCAGAATTCTAGACTCATGTCTGACATTATCAGTGCAACCTGGAGCAAAACACTTGTATTATCTGTTTGGATGTCAAATTTATCTCTGCAAAACATGGAGTTAGAAAGATTATTTTAAAGATTCCATTTTAATAAAAAAAATTTATATAGATTTAACATTAATACTAAATGTTCATTAAAATATATAAAGTAATATTCTATTACTAATTCATAGTTGTAATATTCTATTACTACTCATAGCTTCATAGTTTTTCCCAAGAGTAACTTACAATTCAACAGAGAACTTACTTGGAAATAGGGTTTACACTGGCCTCCACAATTGTTAAAACTTTACAATTTTTTATATTCTCTGGAAACTCCTGTATTCCTAAAAAAAATAAACAAATAATAATTGATAAAATTAAAATAATCTATTACATAAGACAAAATAATAATAGTAATAATTAATGTATACCTTGCAGATTGGAAATTTACCAACTAAGCAGGATCCAGATAAACTGACAACATGAACTTAAATGAAACAGAACCACCTCCACACAATCTCCTTTTTCTTGCATCTTTTGTTCATCTGCCTCTTTATAACTGCTAGGTATCCTGATTAGTTTTACATTCCTTTCCTTCTCTTAGCTCTTCTGAAAATTAGTGCCTTCTCTGTGTGAAGTTAAGGACACAAAATGTAGAATACAGCATTCTTTCTGTTTTTCTTACATAAAAAGAGGCATTCCTTTTTTATGCTGGGCTCCAGATTGAGCTGGTCCCTAATATATGTAAAGTAACAAAGCTGAAAACAAAGCTGAAGTTAGAGGCAGAAAATCTACATTAGATATGCCAGTGAATATGCCTGAAGGCAGTTATAGAGCTGTATTTTTGTTAAACACTAGAAAAAAAATTGTGACAAGTCCAATTACAGTAAAGGTTTATTTACACAACTTGTCTCAACAAAAATATATTAAGAATACTTTATATGAACAAGCAACAATCCACAGACCAACTTTAAGTAGCACTGTTGTAATCTAGACTAACAGAACACGAATTAATAGAGGATGTGGCGAAAAGGGAACCCTCATGCACTGTTAGTGGAAATGCAGTCTGGTGCAGCCAACTGTGGAAAACTGTATATAGTTTCCTCAAATTAAAAATGGAACTGACTTTAGACCCAGTGATCCCACTTCTGGGAATCTATCCGAAGAAACCCAAGACACTAATTCAAAAGAATATATGCACCTCTATGTTTATTGCAGCGCTAAGAACTGGAAACAGCCCAAATTCCCATCAGTAGACGAATGGCTAAAAAAGCTGTGGAACATTTACTACTAGACTGTTAAAAAAAAAAAATCTTACCTTTTGTGACAGCATGAATGGGGATGCAGATTATCATGCTAAGGGAAATAAGCCAGTCAGAGAAAGACAAATATGATCTCACTTATATGTGGAATCTAATGACAGAATAAACTGAGGAACAAAATACAAATAGAGGCATGGATACATGGAACAGAATGACAGCTCTCAGAGGGGAAGGAAGTTGAGGGGCTGAATAAAAGACAGTGAAGGGATTAAGCAAAAAAAAGAAAAAAAGATATACATATATAACACTTTGACACAGACAACAATTGTGGTCATATAGCCTGAGGAAAAGGGTGTCGGGGATGGGGACAGAAACAAACTTTGCTTCGGGCAAGGCAAGCGTAACATGTGCAGATGATGCTTTGTTGTGTTGTACACTTGAAACTTGTATGATTTTGTGAAGCAATGTCACCCCAATAAATTCAATTAAAAAAAAATAATGAATTCCAATTAATAAACTTTAAACGTTCCAAAAATTCTGGGTTAGTCCTAGTCCTCCAATAACATATGATTATTCAACAGGGTTGACAGCAAAGGATCATTTAAAAGCCTCTTTCAATTTCATCACTATATGATTCTAAGTAAGCAAGTTTATTATAGTGTCAAGTATAGAATTTTAGGTGATGAAAAATTAAAAAAATGCAAAATCAGCACCAGCAAATACAGTAATAACTTTTTTGCCAAAACACATCAAAAGATGCTAAAATTAGTTGAAAAAGGTATTTTTAAAAATATTTTATTTATTTTCTTTTATAGAGAGGGGAAGGAGGGAAAAAGGAGAGGAAGAAAAACATCAACGTGCAAGAGATACATCGATCAGTTGCCTCTCAATGCCCCCAACTGGGGACCTGGCCTGCAACTCAAGCATGTGCCCTAACCAGGAATCGAACCAAAGACATTTCAGTTCGCAAGCTGGCACTCAATCCACTGAGCCACACCAACCAGGGCTGGAAAAGCTGTATTGAGAAACAGAATATTAATATAGTCTCAAAGTTTCTCGTGAGAAAATATTTATTATAAAAAAATAAAAGTAACTACAGTAAAGAAATCTCACAGGCACCACCTTAAATTGCTTCTAAGTTAGCATCACCAGTTAACATCATCATCATGGGGCACCTAATCTGGGATGCATCAAAAAAGGATGCAGTATCCCTAGTGTCATATAGTGTCATATTCTTGCTGAAAACAGACAACCCGAATTTAATCATAAGCAAACATCACACAAATCCAAATACGGAAAATTCTAATTGGCCAGTAATCTTCAAAACTGTCAAGGTCAAAACACAACAGAAGACTAAAGAACTATACAGACAAAAGGAAACCAAGGGACCTGACTGTGGTAGATATCCAAACCTCCTCCTCTTCTTACTCCTACTACATACTTCAACTGAGAAAATCTGAACAGGACTGAGAGACTGTATCAATGTCAATATCCTACATTGTTCAATAATATTGCAAAATGTTACCATTGGGAGAAACTAGGTAAGAACACAGGACCACTCTGCAATATTCCTTCAAACTGCATGTGAATCTACAATAATCTCAATAAACATTTCAATTAAAAAGACCTGGGCTCAATGATTCCTTAAGTAAAGGTTTTACTATTGTTGTTGTTCTTATTACAAATTCAATTTCTCTACCAGTTTTGAGATAATTCATTTTTTCAATTTCAGTTATAGTAAGTTTTACTAAAACTTTTTGCTGGAACTTAAGAAGTTCATTCAAATCTTCAAATCAGGAAATGTAAATATTGATGGATATTGAATGATATAAGCTAATTATTGTTAGCTGTTGCTCTTAAGTGTTTTAATAGTAGAGTGTTTTCATCTTGAAATACATGTATGAAAGGTCGTGATTTGCTTTAAAATAATCAGAGGTGGCAAAGTAGGAGTTATACATGATACTACAACCTATTCATAAATGTTGAAGCTAGCTGATATATACACATCACATTTATTATTTTTTTCTCTACTGTAAATGCTTGAAATATTCCACTATAAAAGACAACCACTGTTCGGTCACTAAGAACAGACAGCAGGATTAACAGAAAAGAACTTTAAAATAGCTATTGTATGCACCCCTAGGTTCATCGCAGCATTATTCCTGCTGGCCAAAACATGGAAACAACCAATGTGCTCTTCAGTAGATGACTGGGTAAGGAAGACGTGGCACATATATACAATGGAATACTACTCAGCCATAAGAAAAGATGAAACAGCCATTAGCGACAACATTGATGGAACTTGAGAGTATGATGCTAAACGAAATAAGTCAGGCAGAAAAAGTTATGAACCATATGGTTTCACTCATATGTGGGATATGAAACTGAAAGCAACAAGTGAACAGACAAGAAAAACAAACAAACAAAAATTCATAGACAGTCAAAGACAACAGTATGGTGGTTACCGGAAGGAAGGAAGGTAGAGGGGCCAGTAAGGGATAAAGGGGAACAAATATATGGTGATGGAATATAATTTGACTTTGGGTGGTGGGCAAACAATGCAATATACAGATCATGTATCAAAGAAATGTATGGCTGAAGCCTATATGATCTTATTGTGTTAACCATTGTCACCCTAATAAATTTAACAAAGTTTAAAAATCTAAAAAAATAGCTATTGTTCTTGAAGAGCAAAAATGAACAAAATGATAGGAATAAAAAGTCAAATATAAAAAATAATGGAAACTTTACAAATGAAAAATATAATATCAGAATGAGAAGTCCACAGAACAGACTAAAATAAGATTAGACACTGTAGGAGAGAAGTTCAGCAAGCCAGAAGACGTGGCAAGAGAAACTAGCCAATTTGAAACACAGGAGGGGGCAGGGGACTACTAGAACATCAAGTGTTTTCCCATAGCTGGTAATCTATTATTTATATTTATACATTTTGTCATGTAGAAATTTCATTCCTTTTCTGCTATGATTTTATGTTAAAGAAAAAATCTTTTCTACCCTGAAGTCCTCCACTCTGTAATTGTAATTTTTCGTTTTTCATCACTGTCTGTAATGCATCTGCAATTTATTTTAGAATATACTGTAAAGTCTCTATTTTTTACAATTTCCCATGTAAATGCATTGTGTCAATATTTATAAAATCTTTGTTTTCCCTATTCCATTGATTTGTAGAGGCCCCTCTGTCATATTACAAATTCTCACATGGTTATGTTGCTGGACAGCCCTTTCTGTTACACTCCTGCTGAACTATTCCACTTTTATAGTTTCCCTCTGCTTGGGTCATGCTGCAGATTTTCTATTATTTTCTATGGTGATAGATTGGTTATATTAAAGGCCTTACTCCCTATTTTACTCTCTGCAATTCAATGTTCCAGTCTCTTCCATCAAAATGTGAAGTGTGACACATGAAATCAATAAAAATTTTTTAACCAGTGTAACCCCAATTAATTCAATAGAAAAGTTTTTTAAAATATGAAGTGTAATTTCTCTAATCCTGATCTGGGCTCAACCATCTGTTCTGCCTTGGCCAATGAAACTTTAGTGCAGTTGATGAAATCAAGTGTACAAAAAAGGCCCTGGCTAATTTCCACTGGTTCTCAGGTCCCTCTTACTGTCCTCTTACGGCGTGAGAGAGCATGCCTGCGGGGTGCCTGGGCTGGCGTGCAGAAGGGTGAGAGCCACTGCGCAACCACTTATGTCATCCCAGCAGGATTCTCAAGAAGTTCTTAAACAGTCTTTATTTAGTTTTATTGTTAAAATTTATCACTCTTGGTGAGACTTCCAGCAAAGGTGGCAGTGTAGACAGACATAGTTCACCTCTTTGCACAACCACATCAAAATTACAGAACTTGAATTTTATCTTGAGTTACCTCTTAATTGTCTAATGATTTCAACTATCTGTTCCTTTTTCAAACATTCTCACTTGATTTCACTAGTGCTCCTTCTTTGTGATAAACTCTTAAAAAGAATTTGACACTGTTGTTCAAACTTAATAAAAACCACTAGATTAGATATTATAAAACATGGCTATCCTGTTCATATTACTCTTGTTAGGTACAGAAGAATTCTTTCTTCACTGCCAGAAAAGAAAAAAAAATACCTCGTTACATCTAGAAGCTGGCCTGGGACTATGATCTAACCTTTGGTCTTATTATGAACTAGTTGCCTTGCATTCAAAGGATGGCCTTAGTATTCTATTGAGGTAAACATTTCACAGAATATCAACAGCAGACTAGGTTATTCTTTGACCATGACAAATCAAGACAAAAGCTAATTTATAATCATGACTGAACAAAAAATATGAATATTGTCAAAGCCACAAGATACCAACCAATCCCTTCTCCCTACTAATGAATGACTGCTGTTTCTTTATCAATTATAGCTTTAGCCTCCTTATAATCTGTTCTCCATATAGATGTGATCTGTTAGGATTTCAAAGTATAGAATGGCCCCTAATTCTTGACAGCATCTGATCAACAGCAAACCTTCATATTCTTAAACCCTCCAAAATCACGAAACAAAATCCCAAATTGTACGACAAGCTTTTTTTTTTTTTTAAACTCCCTCTGAGACACCCATTCAAAGCCCTTGGCGGGGGTTATTGCTTACGCATCAAGTAATACACCCAAATTGTTCAATCAAACATAAATTCCTGGTGATCTCTACTTGGAGCGCATCAATACTGCAATATCCAATGGAAGAATGTTAAGTCAGTAGTGGTTACTTACTGTTTCTTCACTTCAAATGCTATGGTAATAAACAGTATTGCATTTAACACTAGGTTGTGGTCAAAAAAGGCTACACCAGAAAGGCAAACTCAAATGATTATATTGGCCAGGGGGATCATACGATGTATGATTTGGATCAGGTATAAAACAAAGAGTGGTAAGGACTACAGTAAGGCACAACGAGTGCACACCCCAGTTAGTTTACATTATTAACAAACTTGGCAGTGACTAATGATACCCAGTCTAAGTAAGTTTTAAGTTCCAACTCAATTCCGCTAACAGAAAGACCTAAAGCAATGATTTTCAACTCACAGCACATATAAACTAATTACTAAAATTCTGCGGCACCCCCAAAAACTATGTTTTGTTGACCTGACAAAAATATAGGTATAATTTTGATTCATTCGTATAAGATAGCTACTGTTGTGTTGGCTGTTGTCATTTTTTCATTTGATAATCTATCGGAAAAGAGGTCAGTGCCTCTGACCAAATAATCAGGTATTGCATGTTTTAAAAATTCTTGCAGCACACTGGTTGAAAATCGCTGATATTAAGCTACTCTTTCTAGGTTCTCTGCCTTGTAATTCCTAGCTTTTTATTCAGTGTGTTCAAACAATGGAATTAATAACTATGAAGTCTTCATTTCTTTTATCTCCCCTCCCCACCAGCTTTCCCTATCAACCACTTTGGCAGACGTTTTAATCATTAACCTTATTGGTCTTCTCAAGAAGATAGGTCATTTGAACACAACAGATAATTTCTTCAACACCAGGTGCTATTTAAAATGGCTTGGAATAGCAGCTTGGTAACCTTTTTCTTGCTTTAAAAAGCTAACAATAACCCAAAACTTTGGAGACAAATGGGGAGAGCAGATTACTACTCATAAATTAACACATAAGTTTTTACCATAGAATGGAAATGATGACAAAAATGAATTCCTTAAGAAATAATGACAAATATTAAAACCTTAAATGTATATACTTCCTATACACAGACTAGTCCAAAATGTGGTTAGCAGTCTTAAAAGGCAGGCACAGAGATGGTAATATTGATAATACTACATACAGACCAACTGAGATTTAGATTAATTCCCCAGTATAATAGAAACAATAAACAAAAAAGCAATCATTAAAGTTCAATTCTTATTCCTAAAAAAGTGTTTCAGTCACTAAATCATACTACCTGGCCAGCTGAAAAACCCTGTAAGAGCTATGCAAAAGATTAGAAACTAAGAAAAATCTAAAAGCAAAGATGATAACACAAGTGCCTTTAAATAAACACAGCTTGTGGAAACACAAATCATGTATGCCACAATGTTTCCTGCCTCCCTCCAAGCAGTGCATACAGCTAATGAATATGAAAATGGTATCCAGGGTGCGGGAAAGTGGTGCTGGGAAAATAGAGACAACTGTACTTGAACACCAACTTAAAAAAAAGAAAAAACTAAAAACAGTATCCAGCATATTAAGATATACTAGAATACTGTCAGACTGAATTGATATGAACACCTAAAAGAAGAAAACACAAGAGCTCAGTTAACAGGTTACAACATCTTACTCAATATTTAACATGATTAAATGTTATAATAAATAATTTGGAGGTAATTCAATCTTCTCTCTCAGAACATAAGATAAAACTCCCACCCATCTCTAAATTGGTGGTCATCTGAATACTAAAAATATAAATAATTTCAAAATCTAATACTACTTTCATTTACTAACCTTTCTCTCTTTTCTTTTTTTTTTTTTTATAGTTGGCATACAGTAGCGTTTGTTATGTGGTGGTTTATTATTTATACCAGGCTATACTATTCCATCCCTCAATAATTTTGCATAGGGCCCTCCTGTGTTGAGTATTTCTTCATTTAGCAACTGCTTCTTGACCACCTAGCATTACGCCCGTATTCTACAAGCCGGGAAAACACTGGTGCAGGAGAATGACATCCTGGTCCAGTAATTCCTCCTTATGCTTTCAGACCTTTCTTAACACTGCTAGTCCTAGAACACTCTGTGCTACCATTTCTTGTAATATTATTCTTCTCAAGTTTAAATCTCATTTATTTCTTATTTTTTGCTTAAAAATTTTTTTAATTGAATTTATTGGAGTGACATCAGTTAATAAGATTATATAGGTTTTCGGCTCTGGCCAGGCAGCTCGGTTGGTTATCATCTCACACACCAAACTCAGGGTAGGCACACACTTAGGTTTTAGGTTTGATCCCTGGTGGGGAGTTTACAGGAGACAACTGATCGATGTTTCTTACATCTGTGTTTCTCTCTCTCCCTGCTCTCTCCATCGCCACCCTCCATCTCTCCTAACCCTCTCTCTCTAAAATCAATAAACATATCCCTGGGTGAGGGTTTTTAAAAAAATATATAGTTTTCAGGGGTACAATTTTATAATACATCACCTGTACACTGCATTCTGTATCCAGCACCCAAGTGTATATTACTCTAATTCCCTTGTTTCACTTATCAACTAATCATGCTATAGAGCTAATGATTACTAAGGGACTCCACAATAAGACTGTCATTTTCTTGAAAGCTGGGTAGAGATGTTTTTTATTAAGTTGTGCACAACGAATGCTAATAGTGCCTGACTGATAATCATTCACTTAAATACATGGAATAGACACACATAAGTATTAGGTGAATACTGCTTGGACAGAAATAAAAACGAGTCTAAAATATAGTTTTCTTCCATTGTTTACTACAAGTATACAGTATTTCAGCTCCCTTTGGCTTTTACAGTCATCCTGGGAACCTGCCTCCTAATTCTGTTTTACAGGGAATAAAAGCAATTTCAGTACAAATAGCTAACTTTATTTTTTTTATTTTATATTTTTCCTGCTTACCTCTCCAGAATCCACTAGTGCCACTTTGCTCCACAGGACCAGTGACAAAGGCTCCCTCCTTGACCACATTTTAGCCCGGCCCCTCTGAGCCCTCTTCTTTTTTATTCCCATCCTGCCATCCCCTCCCATTTGACAACCATCAGCTTTTCTCTATTATCCATGCATCTGTTTATGCTTTGTTTTTATAGATTCCACATATAAGGGAAATCATATGGTATTTGTCTTTGTCGTCTGACTGACTTCACTTCGCAAAGTAACCTCTACAATGTTGCAAAGGGCAAAGTTTCAATCATTTTTATTGCTGAACAGTATTTTATTTTTTATATATATAAAAAAATAAGTTGGGGAAGAAGCAGGATATAAATGAATTCAAATAATAAAATTTAAAACATTTTATTTAAAACAATATATAACAGAAAATTTTTAACTGCAAAGTTAAATGATTCATTTTAAAAAGGTTAAAAAATGTGTATTTTCAATCTGCGGCTCATAATCCACATATGCAGAGAGTGAAATAAATTTATATACAACTCTAAGATTGGTCAAGACCCCTAAGCCCCACAGTCCCCATATTATTCAAGGGTCAACCAAACTAGCTTTAAACCTAAAATTTATTGGTTATTGACAACTGAAACTCAATAACACACTAATCACTATAACCCTAACCTGAACCTACAGTGAATATAAATACATTATATGTACATAAATCTTCCTTAAAGAGGATTTATTTCTTAAAACTGAAGTGTTAAATTTAATCATTTTCCTACAAAATATAAATTTAATTGTTTGATAGAGCTTGCCCACAACTAAGATATTAGGATTCAATAAATGAAGGCATGCAATAAATTTATATATTTCATTTTAAAGTAACTTTTGTTTTTTGATGAAGATATGTACACATAATAGTTAGTTCGTTTACCAAAGTAAATTGTTAATTGTGAAGACAGGATGACTCTTTTAATCTGTTCTAAAGTGGTTTTCATAGTAAGTCCTGCAAGTATCACAGCATTTTAACTAAAAGGTCATTCTAATTCTTTTACACTTATTCTCTACCTTGCTTAGAGCTCTTATAGATCACTTATATATAAATTTTACATATAGGAAAGCTAATATGACAATACATTATAATCAGACTTTTTATTTTTATTTGTTAAAACACAAGAGAAATCTTAATAATACAACATGTTCCCAAGTACAAAAAGTTGGTGGGGGTTGGGGGACGGAGTGGGGAGAGAATCTTACCATTCTTGCTGACATCCAGTTCCCTGAGATTAATCAGATTTGCAATAGATGCTGGTAGTGTTGTTAAATCATTGTCTGGCAAACTCAGTTTGTGTAGAGATTGACAGTTAAAAAGTTGCTATTGAAACAAAGGAAGAAAGAACTGTGATTGTTACTTAAGTTCCCTTAAAAGTTTCATCTATTCACCTTTATACAAATAAATACTATTATTAAAAATGAATGTTATACCTACATAAATACCAGGAAAGATTTCTTATTGTTTTATGCTGTTATGAACCTGAACTCAATCTAAGCACTCAGAATGATTTACCATCCTCAAACTTCTATCCTAAGCAAAATGCATTTAGTGAGAATAAGTATATGGATGTATTCTCTGTTGAGGTAGTAAAAAATAAGTGGCTGTTAGATATTTTAAATTTTGGAGCTTCTATTTCAATCACCCTTATTTCCAAAATAAAAATTTACATAAAGTAAGTACAACGGATTTAAAATTACTCAAAATAGCCCTGGCGGGGTGCCTAGGTTGGTTGGAGAATCATCCCAGTACAATAAGGTTGCAGGTTCAATCCCCATATAAGAAGCAACCAACGAATGCATAAATAAGTGGAACAACAAATTGATGCTTTTCTCCTCTCTCTTACACTCACTCTCTCCTTTCCTCCCTCTCTCTAAAAATCAATTAAAAATTTAAAAATAAATAAAATTACTCAAAATATAGAATTCTGGTATGAGAGAACAAAATAAACATGGAAGCAAGTATTTTGTTACGCTAATCACAATAATTAAATGTGACCTTAAAATATATTTACCAAAAGTAGTAGGTAAATGGGCCACTTCTAAGTTTCATACCAAGATACCTGTATAGAGCACAGAGGATTTTTAGGGCAGTGCAAATTATCTTGTTTGAGACCATAATGATGGATACACGTCATTCATTATGCATATGTCCAAACCCATAGTTTCAAGCATAAAGCCTAAAGTAAACTATCAACTTTGGGTGATTATGATTTTTCAACATAGGTTCCTCAATTGTAACATATGTACCATTTTGGTGGGAGATGTTGATAGAATGGTGGAGGGCAGGCATGTCTGGGGACAGAGTAGGTATATGGGAAATCTTTCCTGTTAATATTGTTGTGACTCTAAAACTGTTACAAAAAAGTGAAGTCTTTAGAACAACAACAACAACAACAACAACAAACTATTGTCAGAATGGCATAATGAATAATGAATGCTATTTAAGAAGAGCATTCTCCCAAAAATGGAAAATTGTTAGGTATAAGAGATCAGTTATTTGCACTATCATAGCAAGCCTCTGTCTTTCCAATAATCCCCTGACTGAGACCTTACTGGAGGTGATTAGAAACTTGGTCTTCCTCTACATTCTCCAGAACTATCTAGGAAAGATAAATTATTTGCTGAAGAACAACAGAGAAGGATAAATTATATTATAAAGCACCTTATCATAACCTAGGGAAGTAATTCATAAACATGCAAACCACAACCTTTAATACTTTATATGTTGCCATATGTAGATTTCTTTAGAAGACAACCTAGGATGGCACTGGATTTTAAAATGTTTCTACTACTGGCCACTGAAAGAAAAGTATTTTTTAAAACACTGCCACCCAGTAAGGTATACACACACACAAATCTAAAACAAGTACTTCATGTAACAATAGATACATGCAACACACTCTATTTTCTATTCCATTAAAGTTAGGGTTGTCAGATGAAATACAGGATGCCTGATTAAATTTGGATTTCAGATAAAGAATAATTTTTTAGTAAAATCATGTCCCATATATTGCATAAGACACTCTAATATTGAAAAATTATACTGTTTATCTGAAAATTGTTTAACTGGGTATGCTATATTTTTATGTTCTAAATTTGCCAGTCCAAACCAGAGCCTGTTATTTGGAAATGCACACATATTAAACTGATTTTTAAGCCACCCATGTGTCCAGGCACAGTTTGAAAAACACTGTTTGGGTGATAAATGATTCTAACAATTAAATTAAAGCTACTGCAGTTTTTCCATTAAAAAAAAAATAAAGACAAGACATTGAGAGGGAATAAAGAAGGATTAAGATTTAAGGGAAAAAAGTAGTTACTGAAAAATTTTAGCTAATAAGTTGATAATATGAAACATTTCAAGGCAACAAACCAATTTGCTCCTAGTTGTTTCTATATTTCAGAAATATTAAGTCCTTTTAAATCTTTTCAAACAAACTGAAATGGGGTAAACAGAATTTTATCTCAAAAAAGGTGTCTAACCAAATTATGTGATATTTTTAAAAATGTATCTTTAATTATAATACTGTAGATGTTTTATAAAAACTAGAAAAAGAAATTCTTTTCTTTTGGTTGTAATTGATTTTAGAGAGAGAAAGGAAGGAAAGGAGAGAGAGGGAGATAGAAATGTTGATTTGTTGTTCCACTTATATATACATTCACTGGTTGATTCTCATGTGTACTGACCAGGGTTCGAACCTACAACCTTAGCTTATTGGGGATGATATTCCAACCAGCTGAGCTACTTCGCTAGGGAAAAAAGAAAACTAATTTCAACTCTTTGTCTAGTTAAGTCTATTGCCTGCAGAAGTTGTGTAGTCTTATTTTCTACCTTAGTGGCTGTAACAACACTAGAATTAAATACAAAATATTAAGTTACAGTAGAACCTCAGTTCTCGAACTTAATTTGTTCCAGAAAGCTGTTCAAGAAGTGATCTGTTAGAAAACTGAATCATACTCCTACTTGCATGCATTCTATCCTTTGTTGCCAGAGGCCTGTGACTGACCATACAGGTATCAGCAAAAAAGGGCTGTCGGGTCTAGAACCAAAGTTTTGTTCAACAACCAAAATATTTTTTCTGCGAACAACTTGGTGGAGAACCAAACTGTTCCAGATGGAAGAACTGAAGTTTGATTGTATTTCCACAAATATTCAAGCAGTTAACATGAAGAGACAGGGGTTAAAAATTTGATTTTAAAAATTTGTGACGTGTGCTCATTACTTAAGATAAAATTAAACAAAAAATACGGAAACACATATATATCAGCAGCATTATGGGAACATTAGGACTATCATATCCTAAGACATGAAAATAACCAAAAACAAATCTTGAGAGACAGTATTAACATACCTTTGGAAGCTCTTCAATCTGATTTGCATCCAAATAGAGCTCTTCCAAAGTTTTTTCAAAAGTAAAAATTTCTTTGGGAACCTGTTCCAAACTGCAATGAGAATAATCAAGAGTAGTGACAGTCTCCTCTTCCCCTCGTAGGCATCGACAGGGTACCAACCGCACAAACAAACTTCGTTTTGTAGTCATTTTTAGACACTGCAATATTCAAATAACAGTAAATTTAGTTAAAACATACATAATAATTTTTTAAAACAAGTTATTCTAATTCACTTATCACAATTTATATATCACAAATAAATACCTCCACTCCTACACCCAAGGAAATGCACTTAACATTGCTGTACTATACAATTTATATACACTGAATTTCAAATTGAACTTAAGTATTTCTGTACTTTAGAAAATGATGATTAAGTAATCATTTATATGCTTCTACAAAACCATGCTTTATGAGTTTTACTCATCCTCAACAAAACCCTAATACAACAAAGATATTTCTTTAATTTGTGACTAAGAACTGCTTTTTAATTAAGAACCTGACTACATGCAGTTTTGAGTGGGATGAAAATGAGGATACAAAGATATTTTCAAGTATTCCTCACCAGCCACGAGAATCAATCACCCTTTAAGTTTTCTATGATTTTTTTCACATCAAAATTCCAACCTATGTCAAGTATATTTTGTTCAATGAAGTAGTAGTCTTTTAATTTTCTAAAGAACTTACAGGTCTTATACTTGTAAAAGGTTATACACTAGAGAATAAACCTTGCTTCAGTAATGTATAGACTTCATTATTTCAAACTAAGTGAGAGAAAGGTTCAGTTGTGAGATAGTGAAAATTCTCAAGGCTAATTTTGTTAAGAATACAATGTACGTATATAGGTTAGTTCTAACTAAGCTAAGATTACATTAGCCAAGAAAAGCCCATTTCAATAAAAAAGACTAACTGCTAATTAGTGTTACCAAAACTTTGTAAAATAATAAACTTGTGGTAGTGTATTAGATTATTTTTAACCAGGGACAAGACTAGGTTGAAGCCAGCAAGGCAAATGGCTCTAGCACAAAAAATAAGGAGGCACTAAAAAAAACTCTAATCACATTTAATATTTTAATGCAATATATTTTTTTAAAAATCGAAAACAATCCATTTATGAACAAAATGGCTAATTTTTAAATAAAACAGGATTAGCATTAATGATTTTTTCTTTTGCCTCAGGTTCCAGTATGTCTCTGCAAGGCACTGCTTCTAACTCTTCCCATTCAAATTATATGGTATTTGTAAAGTGTTTATCTACAATAGGATAAGTGCTTCCTTGGGAATCTTGTTAAAGATCTGGCTATCCTTACTCAATCACCATGTGCCACACAATAAGTTCTTTAGATAAACTACATGCATTATTTTTATATAGCTTTTTAAGAAATGTACCATTATCTCTGTTTTTCTACAAAGAAACTGATTTTGTGCTTTTACTGCACTATATTGCTTCTAAATATATATTGATACACTTGTACTCAGGTGCTCAAAATGATTAAAATATCGACAGGTCTTTACTACATATTTTTTTAGGGTTTACAAAAGTGAACTACTCAGGGATCCAGGACGCACTATGCCCATATATGGCACCTTGACTTCCTGAAATTGAAGAAATTTGAGAAAACAGCAAAAATAGCAAGGCCACCCTGACCTCATTCCACCATTCTCCCCTGAAGGGGGCATAATTCTTCAGGTGAAAAGTGCCCTCTTGTATGCAGAGGAATACAGCCTTACCTCTGGAGACAAAGGAGAAGGATCCTAACAAACTGGACTTGCTACATTCCCTAGTTTTATCAATTATGCCATTATAGTTGTCCCAATTTTCTCCCCTTTGCCCTCCTTCACTCAGCACCCCCGACTCCTTTAGACCATCCCCCCACTGTTCATGTCCACAGGTCATGAGTGCAAGTTCTTTGGCTACTCCACTTCCTGTACTGTACTTTATAGCACCATGGCTATTCCATAACTACCTATTTGTATTTCTTAATCCCCTCACCTCTTCACCCATTCTCCCAAACCCCTCTCCCATCTGGCAACCATCAAAACACTCTGTCTCCACAGTTCTGTCTCTGCCCTTTTTGTTGACTTAGTCTGTTTTTTAGATTCAATAGTTTATAGTTATGTACTCATTGCCATATTAATGTTCATAGTTTTGATCATCTTATTCTTCATAAGTCCCTTTTACACTATAATAATGATTTGGTGACAATCAACTCCTTTAGTTTTTTCTTGCCTGGGAAACTCTTTATCTGCCCTTCGATTCTAAGTGATAGCTTTGCTTGAAAGAGCAATCTTGGCTATAGGTCCCCTGCTTTTCATCACTTTGAATATTTCTTGCCAATCCCTTCTCGTCCACAAAGTTTCTTCTGAGAAATCAGCTGGCAGTCTTATGGGATCTCCCCTGTACATAACTAACTGCTATTCTCTGGACGCTATTAAGATTCTCACTTTATCTTAACCTTTGGCATGTTAATTATGATGTGTCTTGGAGTAGGCCGCTTTGCATACACCTTGTTTGGGACTCTCTGTGCTTCCTGGACTTGCATGTCTTTTTCCTTCACCAAATTAGGGAAGTTTTCTTTTATTATTTTTTCAAATAGATTTCCAATTTCTTGCTCTTTCTCTTCTCCTTCTAGCTCCCTATGAGGCAAATGTTGGACCTCTTGAAGTTGTCCCAGAGGCCGCTTACACTATCCTCATTGTTTTGGATTCCTTTTTCTTCTTCATGTTCTGATTGGTTGTTTTTTTGGTTTCTTATGTTCCAAATCATTGATTTGATTCTTGGCTTCATCTACTCTACAGTTGTTTCCTTGTAAACTGTTCTTTATAATCAGTTCATGTACCCTTCATTTTTGACTGGTACTCACCAAGTTCCTTAAGCACCCTTATAATCAGTGTTTTGAACTCCGCTTCTGATAGGTTACTTATCTCTGTTTGGTTTAGTTTTATTTTCTGGAGTTTTGTTCTGTTCTTTCATTAGGCCATGTATTTTTCTTTTGGTCTCCTCATTTTGGCAGCTTCCTGTGTTTGTTTCTATGTATTAAGTAGAACTGCTACGACTCTATGTCTTGATAGCATGGCCTAATATAGCAGGTATCCTGAAAGGTCCAGTGGCAGAGCCTGTCCTAGAACCCAAGCTGGGTGCTAAAGGTGCACTATACATGTGGGTTGAGTACCCTCCTATTATAGTTGAGCCTTGACTGCTGTTGGCAGATCAATGGGAGGGATTTATCCAGGCCAGTCAGCTGCAAGGACTGGCTATGACCACTGACCACCAACCTCTGCACTCCATGGAGGATTAGATGTGCAGGGGCAGGGTGGTCATACTCCGATGTCACCTGTAGCTGTCCACTGGGCATACAGGCTTTGAGGTTTCCCAGATCGTGCAGGCAAGCTCAACTACCACCTGTGTTTTGCCTGGAGCCATCCTGCATGACCTACAAAGCAATCTGCAGATGATTGCTGCTTGTGCTGGACTTGGAAATTCCCAGTCAAAGCCAGGATGTGAATTTAGGCTGGCTGCTGCTACTGACAGGCCTGAGGCCACTTAGCCAGAGACATAGGAAGTCAGGGCTCACTGAGGCTGGCTGGCACTTGTTTGAGAGGATTCAGAAAGATGTGAAGCATGAGCCTACATAAGCCATTCATATGGAAAAGCCATTGTTAACAGTTTGGGCAGGCCTGTAAGTTGGGTGGGGCTGAGCCTAAGGCAAATAGTGTTAGCCAGGTTGCCGCAGCTTCAGTTACGGCAGCAGCCTACCTGCTCTGTGGCTTAGTGGGGGTCAGGTTCTGAAAAGGAACAGTGGCCTCTGCCCGCCTATCTGTCTGGAAGAAAGCTGTTCCCCAGCTCTCTCCCTGAATGTAGACACTTCAGTTCCTCTCCATATGCCACTGGTGCCTTTCAAGCTGCTATGCTAGTGCTGGAGCTCAGAGGGAATGAGTCTCAGTAAGTCTGCGTATGGGTTCTTTAACAGGAACTTCTTGGGAATCGAGCCATTTCTTCCACCAACTTAATTTCCACTGGTTTCTTCAGCCAGAAGCTATGGGGACTTATCTTCCTGGCACTGGAACCCTGTGCTGGGAGGCCTGGTATACGGCTGGGACCCCTAGCTCCTGAGATGTCCCTCCCAAATTTCTGTATGCCACACATGGGTGTGTCACAAGCCCATTCAGTATCTCCGGGTCCCTACCCTCCCACCAGTCTGGATGGATGTGGATTCTTTTATTCCATAGATGTCAGACTTCCATTCAACTCAATTTCTGACAGTTCTGGGTGATAGCTGTTGTCTAGTTATAATTTCAATGTGGTTGTGCAAAGAGGCAAGCTGTGTTTACCTACACCTCCATCTTGATTGCAGGTCCGGTGAGCTATCATATTTATATATGACTGTCCACTCTTCATCAAGCTTAGCATAAGAATACTCATGTTTAACAGTTTCTTTGGGTCTTCATTCCTGTATGAAGGGCTCACATGGCACATAAAACTTATCTTAAATAAATCTTCGTCAGTTTAATTTCAAATCCAAGCAGGAACCCAAAGAGGGTTGAGAAAATTTTTTTCTTCTCCTACACTATGAGGTGAAACATCAAATGTTTCTACCTAAACTCTTTGTTTCATGGGAAGGTAATACACAGGAAGGTGACTACAGTTAATAATACTGTATTGCATATTTGAAAGTTGCTAAGAGAAAAGATCTTAAACATTCTCATCACAGGAAAAAAAGAGTTTGTAATTATGTGTGGTGATATATGTTAACTTTATTGTGGTGATCATTGTTATTTATACAAATACCAAATCATTATGATGTAAACCTGAAACTAACATAATGCCAATTATACCTGAATTTAAAACAATAATGAAAAATCTTGCCAAAAAATAACCAGAAAAGTTTACTGAATGCTTACTAACCATCTATATTTAGACAAAGGGGTTTACTCAAAAGAATAAGCAGTGCCAGGTGGTTCAGTTGGTTGAAGCATCATCCCATACACCAAAAGGTTGCAGGTTCAATTTCTGGTCAGGGCACATACATAGATTGTGGGTTAGATCTCCACATGTTGGGGTACATGAGGGAGGCAAATGATTGATGCTTCTCTCTCACATCAATATTTTTATATCTCTCTAAAAATCAATAAACATACTCTGAGGTGAAGATTTTTTTAAAGACTAAGCAGTTTTATTGATAATATATTTGATAATATAAATTTAATAATAAATTGTAAAAGGGTAATTTAGTTTTTACTTGTGTGTTTTGAGTTAAAAAAGATTCCAAAATATAAAATGTTTTGTTTAAGAGATCCTAAGACTTCAGTTGATAATGAATTAACGGGACACCTAAGAACAATGGGCAAGAGTTCTCATCTGCTCTGTCCAATATGGTAACTACCAGACATCTTAACTTTAAAATTCAAGTTAAACCAAAAAAACCTTTAAATCTACTTTCTCAGTTGCACTATCTTTTAAATGCTCAGTGGCCACATCTGGCTATGGCTACTATACTGGATAAGAGAAGATATAGAACATTTCTATCACTGAAGTTCTATGGGACAACAATGGTGAAATGTCTCAAACTATTCTGGTTTATCATAACTACTGTGCTTATATTTATATTATATGACAGTATCCAAGAACTTGAAAGATATGGCCTAAAAATCCATTTTCCAGAAATCCTAATGGATTTGGGAGTATAATTTCTGAGAAAGGACATGAAATGCTACTATGAAAAATATGTAATTTTAAAAAGGTCTATTTTACGTTATACTCTGTGCAGGGCACTTAAAGTATAAGGCACTTTAGAGGGCAGAGTAATTACTAGTGAAGGTAACGACCTCCAAGATTTTCCTGTAGTGCAAATCATGAAGAGATCATGTGGCAGACAGATGTTCAGAAACTGCAGAATTCAGAAGAGAGGATAAATTCAGAAAAGGAATTAGATGCTTATTCTAGGAAGCTACAAAAAAGTTTATATCTAAATGAAAACTTCCCGTGGACGCAGGCTATGAAGAGAGCAGCTTAGACCTCATATTAAATACAGTGAGCCTTGAGCCCGTACAAAATGGACCCCAATTTACCAGACTAAAAGGTTACTGTGTGAAAACGAGGGAATCTTGATTATTGAGGGCACAGGAGGAAAGTACCATATGAGACTGGAATGAGTAGCAACACCCAAAGAGATCCTCCCTTACACAGTATTATAAGAAAGTAAACTATGATCATGAAATGTTAAAGGGACTTATTTAAGAAAAAGATGACGATCAAAACTACGAACAATAAAATGGCAATAAATACGTGTCTATCAAAAAGTGAATCTAAAAATCAAACTAAGCAAACAAGAACAGAGACAGAATCATGGATACAGATAGTGTTTTGATAGTTGTCAGATGGGACAGGGGTTTGGGGGAACAGGAGAAGAAAGTAAGGAGATTAAGAGGTACAAATAGGTAGTTATAGAATAGCCATGGGGCTGTAAAGCACAGTGTAGGAAATGGAGTAGCCAAAGAACTTATATGCATGACCTATGGACATGAACAATGGCAAGGATTGCCTGAGGGAGCAGGGGGTGTTGCTGGTTGAGTAATGGGGGGAAAATTGGGACAACTGTAGTAGCATAATCAATAAAATATAATTTAAAAAAAATAAAAGTAAACCAAAGGAGAATGCGTAGCTTGGACTGAACAGGAAGTGATGGAGACTACTAATTACAATTTTAGTGTTGTGATAACTAAGAGCCACTTCATAAATCAAAGTTAACATGGTAGATGTAAAAATTTTCTAATCAAATGAAGAGGAGCCAGCCGAGAAAAAAGGCGTAATAATAACCCAAACACTTTCTAACAAAAAAAAGAAACAAAACAAAAAAGAGCCAAAAAAAAAAAAAGCTACTTACCACTTGGCTGAATTTATCTCCCTGCTGTTTCTTAACTGAGCCAACATTCTATGGAAATCAAAAAACAAAATGAACAAAAAATTAGACCTTTATGACTTTAAGGAGCATCTTTCCTAATTTCTTATTTACCTCAAAACATAAACTAAAATTCTCAAAAATTCACCAGTGTAAACTGACATACACAAACTCGATAACTTCTAAATATATGGCTAGTTTCTTATCCAATCATTGGATTATTCATAATTCATTTGTAAACTTTTTTTTTCTTTTATTCATTCTACAGAGAGGGGAAGGGAGGGAGAAAGGGAGCGAGAGAAACACCGATATGAGAAGCATCAGTTGGTTGTCTCCTGCATGATCCCTGACCAGAAACCAAACCTGCAACCCTGGGATGTGCCCTGACTGGCAACTGAATGAACCAACAACCTTTCAGTTTGCAGGATGATACCTAAATAACGGAGCCACACTAACCAGGGCTCATTTGTGAACTATTGAGAGTCCTGCTCTATCAAATAATAAATATCCTTCTACCATTAAAATGACAATTGTTAAACTTACTGAGAAATGATTTTTTCCAAGCAAATAAACACTAATCACCAATTATATTTAAATTTAGTAGTTTTTGATGGTTTTACGTGGCGAGAAACTATTAATTTCCTCTCAGATTCTGTTCCTAATTTCCAAGATTTTTCTTCTCTTGGGCTGGTAACAGATCCCACTAAACACCTACTTTTAAGCTTTCCCAAGAGGGCACAGATGGATGACACAGTTAAAATCAATGCCATATACCCAGAAGTCTGCTTTAGAGGTGGAATGAGGGATGGCTCTAGGGAAAAAAAAAAATGTGCTTTTCATATCCAGAACTACATGTAAATGTGATGTCTACTGTGCAACAACCATTCTAGAACCCTAAGTCAACAAGGATAAGGGCTGAAACCCAATTAATAAGGCTGACAGTGTAGAAATACAAAATCAGCTGTGAGGTCTCTAACTGCATTGCTCTTAGAATTAGCTGAATCAATACTACTGCCTAATTTTGGATATCTTGGTTTGTAATAAAACTAAATAATTCTATTTACTTAAGCCATTACTAAGTTTTCTATACCTGTAATCAACATATTCCAAAGTGAGATAACCTGAAACCCAAAACAACAGCATTCATAAAAAGTTATATACATCACAATCTTTCTTAAAAATGCAGTAGTATTAATAAATATGTTTCAGAGTTTTAGAGAGTCAAAGGGTATTTTAGAGAGGATATTTGTCCCTATACTAAATGATTTAGCACTACTGAGTTGTTTAATTTTCTCCACAAATTCTACATATACTACATGCCATAAACAATACTTTGTGGGTACCATGCAAAGGATAGCCACTAACTTTGTCATTCAAGAGACTCTCACATATGTGAGGAATGGAACTGCCAAAAAACTGCGATGGAATAAGACTATGGAAGGAGCATACTGGAGAGAAGAGAGATGAGAGGTTTGTCTTGAGAATCTTTTGTGTGAAATACCTGACAGATGCCCTGGTGGGATCCTGAGTAAGCAGGATATGAGTATTCAGAGACGTAGGAAAGCATTTCAAGCTGAGGATACAAATTTGGATGACATCTGCTTAGAAATGATATTTAAAGCAATGAAATAATATGAAAGCATCAAGAGCATGAGTGTAGATATAAAAAAAGGAAGAGTTCAATAATTAAGCCCTGAATTATTATAAAAATAGGTCAAAAAAAAAGAGAACTGGAAAGGACACTGAAGAAAAGCAGTAGTGAGGGTAGAATATGGATCAAAAGTCACGACAGTGGATTTGTAAGCAGATGAAAATACTCTAGTTAAAGAGAGGAGACCACTGATAATTTTTATAGAGATTTAGGCAGCAATTCAGAATGTACCAGCAAAATCTCTCACCATTAAAAAAGCTACTCATGATTACAAAAACAAAAGAAATGTAGGGTGCAATAGTAGCACTAGCTGAGTAAAATTCACTTGGGGTATTTTTCAAAAGCACAGATGACCACATCTAGAGATTCTGACTTATCCAAACCAAAATGCTGATGTGATTCTTTTTTCCAAAAGTTTAAATAATAACCAACACGTGGTCAATCATTTCATCTATGCTCAATCACCATCTTCTCTCCCTCCTCATCTTCTAGTATTATTTTGACAAACTCTCAGTTTGGAAATTACTACAACAACTAAAGAGTAAAATCACTATAAAGCAGTGATTTTCAACCTTTTTTATGTCATGGCACACACAAACTAAATATTAAAATTCTGTGGCACACCAAAAAATTTATATTTTTTCTAATATGACAAAACATAGATATAATTTTGCTCATTCACACCATACAGCTATTGTTGTGTTGGCTGTTATCATTTTTTAACTTGACAGTCAGAGAAAAGAGGTCTGTGCCCCTAACTAAATAGTCAGGTATTGCATATTTTAAAAATTCTCACAGCACCCTGGTTGAAAATTGCTGCAATAAAGGTTTTCTGAAAACAGTGTATTTCCCTATTGATCTAAAGAGATCACAAATTATACTTGACTAGGTTTCAGAGAAATCTTATGTTGGAGCAATCTTTCTAAATGGGTTCAGAAGTTAAAATGCACAATAAAGGTCTTTAGGCATACCCACAGTTATTAGATGGTATTTAGTGGTTGTGTAAAATCACTTTAATTTAAACATGGTTATCACAGTGTTTGCTAATCTGTACTGGTATACCTGTGTTTAGTTTTGAGGCATTTTATGGACATTATTAACCCATTAATGGTAACTACATGGATAGTAACAAGGAGAATTATGGTGTGAAAAAGAATAAGAATAGGAAGGTAAGAAATTTATGAAATGAAAAAATTATGAACGCTGTATAAGAGCATTTGATTATGAAGGACAAATCAGTAACTAAATGTATAAAATATGCTATGCCTACAACACATACAGTGAGAAATTTGGAAAGGCAGCTGGTGAAAAGAAAACTAAGTTTCACACTTATGGCTATAATATTAGCACAGACAACTGGTCTGATTCTAATCCAGTAGAAAGCTGAGTTTCTTCAATATCAGCCCTATTAATCAAACTTTCATATGAAACCATGGTAAGCTTAAACATGTGTAAAAAAATCTCACTGTTGAATAAGTATTAGACATACATACTGAAGTTACTAAGGAGTTGCCATATTTACAGCAATTTTGTTTTTATTTTACATATAATTTACATAATAAAATGGATAGATCCTTAGAGCACAGCTTGGCAAATGCATACATCCATGTAAGCAATAGCAATTAAAATACAAACTCTTCCCATCATCCCGCAAAGTTCCCATGTACTATTCCAGTTAATGCCCTGAGGCAACCTGACCTGATAAAAAGTAATATATTACAGGGGAGGAATTCTGGTCAAAATGGAAGCATAGGTAAATGTGGCTCACTTCCTCGCACAACCACAGGAAAATGACAGCTAAACTAGAGAACAACTATTACTTAGACCCATCAGAAAATTGAGCTGTATGGAAGTCCAACAACTAAGGAATTAAGGAAACCACATTCACCCAGACAGGTAGGAGAAGTGGAGATGCAGAATGGGCTGGTTCCACACCCACATTTGGTGGATATTAATCAGAGGGATATCTCTGCAGCAAAGGATCCCAGCCCCTCACCAGACTACCTATTCCAGGATTCCAGTGCCAGGAAGATAAATCCCCCTAATTTTTGGCTATTAAAATCAGTGGGGGTTGGGCTGGTGGAAGAAGCTGAAGGATTCTCAGGCATATCGTCTTGGATGGCCCCAAACAAGGACTTACTCAGACTCATTCTCTGGACTCTAGCATCAGGGCAGCACCTTGAAGGGCACTGGTGGCATTCGGGAGGAACTGAAGTGTCTGGCATCAGGGCGAGAGCTGGGGGACAGCTTCTTCCAGGACAGAATTAGAGACAGCAGCCATTGTTCCTTTTCTGAGCCCTCCCATACACAGAGCCACAGTGCAGGGGCACCATATCTGAAACTGTCAACCTGGCTCCAACAGTTAGTCCTTTCCTGACAATTACCTAAGGATCCACCCCACCCAACTTATAGGCCCATACAAGCTGGTAAATATGGCTTTTCCATATGAATGGCTAGGCTAGGCACAGGCTTCAGATTTTCCTAAATCTGCTCAAACAAGCAACAGCTGAGCCCAACCCCGGACCTCTTGCTGAGTGGCCCCAGGCCTGGCACTAGTGGCAGCCATCTGCAGATCAATTCATAGCTTATGCAAGTGGCCCCAGACAGAACACAGATGGTAGCTGACCCTGGCCTGTACCTCGCAGGAAACTCCAGAGCCTGAGCACCCAGCTGACAGCTACAGACCACATTGAAGCACCACCACTGAACCATCCCCACAAGCCACAGAGGGAGGTGGTTGGTGGCCAGTGGTCATAAGCAGTCCTACCAGCTGTCTGGCCTGGGTAAATCCCTCCCATTGACTTGCTGACAGCAATCAAGACTCAACTACAAAAGGAAGGCATACTTAGCCCACACAAAGGAGGCACCTCTAGCACCCAGCTTGGGTAACAGGGGAGGCTGTGCCACTGAACCCTACAGGACACCTACTACATTAGGACATGCTACCAAGACAGGGAATCAAAGCAGCTTTACCTATACATAGAAACACTCACAATGAAGCTGCAAAAACCAGCAGACAAAGAAATGTGGCCCAAATGAAAAGAACAGAACAAAATTCCAGAAAAAAACTAAACCAAATAGAGATAAGTAACCTATCAGAAGCAGGGTTCAAAACATAGGTTATAAGGATGCTCAAGGGTCAACAGCATAAAAAAGATACAGTCAAAAACAAAGGATACACTAATTGAAATAAAGAACAATTTATAGGGAAACAACAACAGAGTGAAAGCAACCAACTATCAAATCAATGATTTGGAACATAAGAAACCAAAAAAAACAACCAATCAGAACATGAAGAAGAAAAAGGAATCCAAAACAATGAGGATAGTGTAAGCGGCCTCTGGGACAACTTCAAGAGGTCCGACATTTGCCTCATAGGGAG